TTTCGCTCGCGGAGCGCAACGGTTAACTTGAATGGCAAAGGGAGAAAAAAAAACCCGCAGTTTCAAACTTTCAATTCAAGGTGGTTGCTAAAGCCGAAGTTAAAAGGCCGTTTAAGGGGAGGAAAAAAAAAAAAAAGAAAAAAAGCTTTTTTCATTTCCCGCTACCTGCTCGGCGCTCATGTCGGGGGCGGCGAGGCGCGGAGCGGGGCGCGGAGCCGGGGCGACGCCGTTGCCTAGCAGCGGCTCCGCGCGGCCGTTAACGGTCGCCTCGCGCGCAGAGGCAGCGGCGAAGCTGATTGGCGCAGGGCAGCAGTGGGCGGGGCGGGCCCGTCCCCCAGCGTGGCTGTTGCTGGGGGCCGGTGGGCAGTTTCCCGCTCCCCGCGCGGGGCAGGAACCCCCCGTTACTTTCCCCCAAGCCGTGCTCTGCTTTACTAGCTGCAGCTGCTCGAGCAGAGACCCCTACTCCCCAACGAGCACTGTTAATGACCAGCCCGCTTTACCTGGAGTATCTTCTTAACGTTTCACAGATGACCATATGCTTACAAGTTCCAAACAGCTCATTCCTTGCTTTGTATCACAAAGTGTCACATAACTTATAATGCTCTTCCACCTCCTCACCCCCCTTTTTTTTCCTAATCCATTGGAATGTGTTTTCAGCTAGTGCAGGCCAAGTTTGTCTTTGCTGTAGCTGCTCCACCGTGAGGATAAAATTGCCTCCCTGAAGCAAATCCACTGGGCTCCCCGTAAGGGCCGTGGAGCTTCTGAAAAACAGAGTTGGTTGCATTGGTGCATGTGGTGCTCACATGGGTTGAGGTAAATATTCCTGCTCGTCTCTTCCAAGTCCTGCCTAGGCCTGGTGAGAGGAACACACCCCCCCCCACGTTTGTAAACAGAAATTAGGATAAAAAGAAGTCTGCGACATCCAGCAATTTGAGAGAGCCCACAGGGATATGCCGGATGGGCTCTCCCCATGTTGTAGGAGTTTTTGTGCCTTTAGGGCTTAATAAGGTAGAAAGCTTAGCAAAAGTAGATGATATAGTATAGCATAGGGCATAGAGCTTAGGGCATGGCGCTCGGAAGATCTCGCGATGTCACGGGAGTTAGGAGCATAATTAATTTAGGCAGCTTACTGATAACCCCATGCCATACAAGGCAAAAAGATGGGCAGTAGGTGAGTCTCCGCATTCAGTTGGAGTATATAGGCAGACTAAACTGCGCAATAAAGGCCATTTTGCCACACCCCCCATACTGGTATCTGTGCTCTAGGGCCCTGGGGTGAGGACAACCCCAGGTCAGTCCAGCTAGCGAACGAGGCTTGCCGACCCCCGTCAGCAACATCATCTATTCAAATAAAGGTTTAGGATTTCCCTGTCTCCTTTTTGGAAATTCGGTTCTTGACTGAATTTTTGATTTTCCACACAGGGAGTTGGAAATACCAGTCAGCTTTTACCAGTCAGAAAAGGAAAGATACAGTTTTCTAAATTTAAGAATGTCATGGAGAATATATATCTAGTGTTTTTTTTCTACAAGCAGCAAAAAAAGCACTCTTGAAAAGTCTATTATTACCGAAGTTCACTGAAGACAGACATTCAGTATCATCTAGTTTGTATATTAGCAACTAAGATTAGCAAAATTTAGGGAAAAATTGGTGACAAGATGGAATCTTGTCCAATTTTAACAGAGATTTAAAAAAAAAAAAAAAAAAAAAAAAACACCTCACCTCATATAGTGAGAACATCACGATAAAATTCCAGAGGAGGAAAAGAGATTAAGTTCTTCAGACAAAGTCCATGTGAATGCAAGATAGCACAGGGGGGGAAAAAAGGGCTGTATTTTAGGTACATCTCACATAGTTTTTACCTTAGGAATTTTACTCCGCATGTAGGCAGGATATTCATTTGCAGCTGATGGCATCTGCCTGCCTGTATACATCTTAGTACAGCCTCAGAGATCTATGAGGAAAAGCTTTAGTCATTAAAATTCAAGCTTGAGCAATTTAAATCACAAGTGGTTGCTTTTGAAACTTAGTTCTGTATTCACAGGCAGGACTTGAATTTTAGATAATTAAAATGAAATTAGATACAGTGATATTTTCATAAAGATAACAAAAAACTCTGACTCATCAGGAATGGTGGCATATTACACTTAGGCAAGCTTTCAAAGAGAAGAAAAAAAAATCTCAGTGGATTTTTGAAGAACCAAAATAGGTGACTATTGCATGTATGCCACAGTTAGACCATACCTGAACTAATGAAACAGAAGCATGAATCTAAGTAATGTTTTTCTGTGCTTTTTTTTTTTTTTTTTCCTATGCAATTTGTAATACTAGAAAATTTTCCTAAGAAGGGTGGTACGTATGCACATACTGTTTGTATACTCCGGAACATGCTGTACTGATAGAAGCTTGCATCCAGTCTCACTAGGCTTTTTGCTCTTACCATGAAAGAACTAATACCATCAGGAAATGCCTGCTTTGAGAAGCTGAAACAAGGAGTTCCCGCATAGACGGACCGCAGGCTCCTACAGTCAGTGCAACAAGGGGAGGAAAAAAGTGACTCGGGTTTGTGCCAGCCAGAAGGACAGTGCTTGTGATGTGCTGCTGGTCACAGCCACTCCAACAGCACTGCAGAGCCAGCCTGAGTGCCTGTCTCTTAAAAATAGTTGTTTGCTAGCGAGACCATCATTACCTGCAAGTAAATATAGCTACTTGGTGGCTCTGGCTGCAAGTAGTGTTTCATCCAGAAGGCTCCTGTTCACACTTTTCCCAAAGGTCATTTCACTGGAAGGCAACAGTTTTGTCATAGATGTTGCTGGGTCAAGAATGATCCTGCTCTTCCTATTTTGATGGGAAAGAACTGATTCTTTGACTAGACTCAGTAGTAAATACTGCAAGACATTAGACCACTGAAATACAAAAATAGAATGTATAAAAATTTTAAGTGTAATAGAGACACACACTCAAGAATCCCAGAAAACTAGCTGGTAAAGGTATGAGTAAAAACAACACACAAATATTGTAAAAGACAATGCTTTTTTTTTTTTTTAATATATAAAAGGTCACAAACTGCATTGAAGTGACTTCAGTAGTCTTAAGATGTTACTTATCAACCATTTACAGTTCATAATCCCCAATAATATGGCAGGAAGCAAGATGGGCTGACATTGTCTAGAATGTTTCTATTTACAGTCAATTGAAGTTGCACATGCTGAGTTATTTTTAAATAAACATCAAACAATGATCCAAACAAAAATAAGTCAGATTCACTGTATATTTTGAATTTACATAAAGTACAAATAAAGTCTTTAATCCTTATCCTTGGCAAGGACAAAATTTCATTTATTCAAATTTAAAGATAAATTAGCTCCAAAAGTAGTTAGAAATGTAAACATGAGTTATAATAAAAATTTTAAAGTGCTGGCATATGCTTTCAGCTTTGTTTTTCAGATGTTAAAAGCAGAATACTAATATACAAAGCAAGATTCACAGTTGTAATCTCCCTTTAGTAACACTTTTGGAGGATTTTAAAGTGTAAATAACTTTGTAGACCCTTTTTTCCTGCCTTTATCTTTTTTGGCTTTTGATAGTTTTTTTACTTTATATAAAGTGAACTAGTAATTCATATTTTTAAACTTACTCAGTTTAAATTGGACTCTGGGCTGGTGGGGGATTTTTTTCCCTTTTTTCTCCCCTTTTCTCTTTTTTTTTCCTCCTTTTTTTTCTTTTTTCTCTCTCTCCTCCTTTTTTAAAGACTACCTGGGAAAAGTCAAGAGCTTTGAGAATGGTATAAAGTACCTGAATACAACTCAACAACAACTTCCAGTGAAGTCATTTTATAGTTTCTATCATCAGAATTAACGTGCAGAGAAAAGTCAGTGCATTTTATTTATACATAGGCATCCATCCATGCCAAATATACTTGTGTTTTCATTTCACGTGAAGTTCAGTCTTGGAAGACGTTTACTTCTGACAAACATAAGCTTAAAAACAGTCTTACAGGCCTTACCACACGTGGCTTTTCATATGCCAAGGTGAGCATCACCCAAAATAAAGACAAAAATCCTGAATTCCCCATACATTATGGCAAAGTTTTATACTGAAAACTATATAAGAAAAAAAAAAGTCTGTTCCTTTTTTTGGGAAAAGACTCTTTTACTGATTATTTTTACTGATTATTATTTTAATTACTTCTCATAAAGCTCAATTTCCCCAAGTATGGAGAGGACTACAGGCACACTTGATAATAAAATATCACAGTCAGGACTGTTTTTTTTTTTAATAATAAAAAAAAAATTTAATCCAAGCCAAAAGAGGCTTGGTCTATGCAATGAGGAATGGAAAATTGGGGAAAAAAAAAAGTATTTCATAGTGCCCTTACTTTCAGAAAATTTCTACGAGTTTTAATATATTCCCTATACAGAAAGACTTTTAAACTCAGCATTGTTATGATCAGGATTGTATCTTGTCAGTCTTTCATGTGTAAACTATTAGCTTCAGGCTGTTAACACATAATTGGCATTTGCTCCAATCAAAAATTTGGTATTTATTATTTCCCAGATCTTAGAAACAAGAAAAAAAAAGCCACAAAACAAAGCATACTGAAGGGTTTGATAAAACAATTCCTGGATAATTTATCTTCAACTACTAACGCACTGCAGTCCATTTCTCAGAGCGGGCATAAAGCTAAGCTAGTGTGGGTAGCAGGACTTGACAGAAAAGATGCACCGAGCACCTGCATTAAAAGGGCATAATAAAAAATTTTAAAAAGCCTCTTTAAGTGCAGCTTCACTAGTGAAAGTTACACTCAGTTTAATCTCTAAAGCTTTTTTAAGATGAGGAATAAATCATTCATTACAGGTAGACAACACTATTTTAGAAGACTGTATGAAAGGAAACCAGCAGGCATGTGGAATATGCTCATCCTCCTCATCCTCTTCTAATATAACTCACCAACAAGAAGCAAGGGACCACTAGCCCTCTGAGTGATCATCTGTTCATTCTACCTGTACACTGCTCAAGCCCTGCAGATTCACCACAGAAAAACACACCCAGGTAGGTGGTACTGCAGGTACCACAGAAAAAACACACACACAACACGCATCGTCATCCTTAAGCAGACCAGACCCATAAAGCAGGAACTTTTCCTTAATTACTCGTGATCCTACAAAGCAGCAGTCCCAGGAGATGTGTTGTACTCACAAAGCACACTGACTTTCACCTTTCATTAGAACCGGTGAGAACGGTTACAAAGAAACTTGGTAAGAGAGACCAATTCAGTTTCCGTACTTAGATCAGTTTATTATCAAAGTGTAACCGTTAAAATGTGTATGTGTTACTCAAGCACTGCTTGGCTAAGCTTGAGTTTAATTAAACTTTTTTTAGGTTTAATTTGCTCACTCTGGCATCAATTTTGGACTAGAACTTGAAAAGTGCAATTACTTAATTATACCTTAAAACAAAACCCTCATTTTATTGGTGCTATAACTCCATTTTCTCAGGAGTTATCCATTGCCAGCAACGGACAGAAAAGGAAGCACCAGCATAAAAGGTTCAAAAGTGCATTTCTAGTACATCAATGCTGCAAGAATTGGCAAGCCATAATCTTATATTCACAATGGAATAGATTATGCCAAATTCATTTCAAAAGAAGTCTCTAAAAACCCATTAACATACAAAGTCTGTCATGAAGTCTTGTGGATACTGCAATGAATCATCAAACCGGAAACGTTTGGAAACCGTACTGCTGTCCTCTGGGATGTTTTCTTTGTCTTCCTTGTTGCTACAGGTACCACTGCAACTGGATTTTATATTCCACTCTTCTGAGCATTTCGTTGTGTGTCCTGGCATCAGAGACGGGCAGCAAGTTTCTTGAGGGCTACACAAGAGTATGAATTCCCCTTGCTGCAACCACAAGTGAGAGAGACAGGCCTCTGCTGTGGGTCTTTGCCTTTGAGAGAAAAATACCAAGAGGTTAAGTTGCCTAAGTTAATTTCAGAAGCAGTAAAAATATAATTAAAGTAGTTCTGGCATATGCAGAGAAGAAATCTTAATCACAGTTGGCATTACAGAGGGAACACTCCACAACTAACATTGCTGCTTTTCCTCTCATCACCAGAGCTATAAGAAGTGCATTAGAACAAACAGAAATTTAGGGGTCATCATTAGCAATACACATGTACATTTTAGTTGGTTTCCCTGTTCCTGAATGTCAAATCTGGTAAAGTTTTAATCAGAACAAGGAACAGAAACTTTAGCAAGTATGAAATCATTCTGAAGAGCTATGAATCATTACATATATGCACATGCTTATGCTTTTGAAGTCCTACATTTTACATATTTTAAGTAGGGAATCTTATTTAATGAATATTCAGTCATTCCATTTTCAAAGAGGACAAAATGAGGGAATTTGTCTGCAACTCCATCAGACTATTACTACTGTTCCCTTGCCTAATCTAGTGCAGCGCTGTTACACTTTTCATCCTGTTTTGCATTGGCAAGTTCCCCCAAACTTACTTGAAATGCCATAGTGCCACTATCTGCTCTCAACTGTGTAGGAACGCATAAATATGGTGTGGTGGTGAGAGAGCTCTGACTTTATGGAGATGAGTCTCAGACAGACTTAAACATTCAAGGCGGCAGTCATTAAGCATAAGCAGTGGGAAGGGAAAAGCCGTTCCCGAGCACGCAGCGAAGGCGCTGGCGGGCCCACGGCAAACACCGGAGCTGGGGCAGAGTGCCGGGCTGCCCGCGGCTCCACACTGACAGGGACTTCGGAAGAGCCTGCCTCAGTGCTGATGATACTGTGATTCCAGGGACCTCTTTCACCTGTTGATACTATCAAATAGAAAGGACTTCTCATCCTTGATCTTGTCCTGGCTAGGCGTGAGGTTAATGTGTGGTCTGCGCTTCCTCAGAGCAGGCATTTCACAGCGGTCAGCTGCTGGAGTCAACTCCTCCTATCAAAGAGCCTTCTCCTGCTTTGTGGAGCCTCTCCGTAGGCGACGGTGACTGCTGAATACACGTGACAACGTGCAGCACCAGCACCAACAATCCCTGACCAGGCCTAGCAGAACATGACCAGCTGACTTTACTAAACTCAGGTATTGTTAAAAAGTTACCGTTACAAATGATTGAGAGTCATCCTCCAATTGCCTTTTTAATGTGCTAGTGTGACAGTTAAAAATTCAATATTTAACACTAGCGAAGACAGGCACACACATTCTCTGTGCACAGTTCTCTCACTCTCAAAAACTCATCTCACAGTTCAGCTGCTCTGAAAGGCCTCCAAACTCACAAGGAACAAACTTACAAGGAATGTAAGCCTATGGAAATACGCATTAGAAGTACAGAGAGGTTTGTACTCTTGATTGAAGATGTTTTTGACAAGCCTGAACATAGCGAAACGCTATTTCCTCCTGAAGAATGTTCAATCGTAAGACTATAAAACCGTATTAATATATAAAACCGTATTAAAATGAAAAGCTGCATTAAATATAAATCACGAAACATCAAAGCATCATATTCTTTCCTCTACACATTTAGTGTAATAAAAATCCACACTGCATTTAGAGGAATAAAAAGCAAGCTCCTTTTAGACAGAATCTGATCTTTCCAGGATATTTAAGATTCACTGATAATCTGTCATCCAAATGGAAGTCAAAGTGAGCAATTATAGCACCAGCCTGCAAATAATGAAACCTGAAGTTTTAAATACCCAGCCAATAATACCCTACATGTATGGTGTGTGAGTATATTTTTTAATATATATCTAATATATAAATAAAATATAAACATATGTATTTGCATTTTTAAATATATCTATATAATAAATTATTAAATAAATATATAATTGAATATATATTAAATATGTAAATATTTATGTAAAATACAAATATAATACTAAATTTTCATACTAATATTCGCTTCTTCTAAATGCTCCATGAACACAGAACATAGAATTCTTACCCTGAAGAATTTGTTACTTACTCTGGATTTTTGATGAGAAGCTTTTGAACGAAGTCTCTGGCAGGCTGTGAAATCGATGAAAATGTTTCTTCCGAATAATCAACGTTAACTTGAGATATATTAAGGAAAGTTTCTTGATTATCAGCTCCCACAAATGGAGATTCTTGTGTCAACAGCATGTATGAAATTACACCTATGTTCCTGTGATAAGAAGACAGTGCGTCATCCTATGTAGCACAGCTAAGCCAAGTCCCTTGCCCCCTACTTGTACTGCAGATCACAACTTTTTGATATTTGCCATATGAAAGCATAGGAAACAACATACTATCTCTCACTTATGCGATTTGGCTATATGTGCATGTACACACAAATGGAAATCATTCATACATCCAAATGAAGGGATTTCTGAAAACTGCTTATTTCTCTTTCTTCTTTATTTTCCTCCAAAGTCCAAGAGTAGCTAATACCTGAAGTACGTTTCCAGTGTTATCAAGGAGTAATCTAAAGTCTGCTATCCAATAATAATTATTCCCTTAGAACCACTGTCCTGTGTCTGTATGCTCAGAAGCCATTTGCATTCCCTACAAACCGCTGAACAATCCAGACTTGTGTGCAGTAATTCCAGTATATATCCTGAGCACCATCTTTCCTCTTCCTTCTTTTATTTGGCCCACCATGAGAACAGTATTTTTGTAAGCAAGATAAAGTTTGCTCAAGAACTGCATCTAGACTCTAGATTGCTAATTGGTTGTGCCTATCAAAACAAAGTATACCACCTACCACATATCTGTAGCTGTTGTAATAGGATCGTAGTTTAAGATTTCTGGAGCTAGAAAAAGAGATGGGAAAGATTAAAAAGAAAGAAAAAAGCACTAGAGATACAATACACTCAATACATTCAAGGGTTTTTTTTTAAAACATACTCTGATCTTTTTGGCAAAGTTTTTTTGTTGTTGTTGACCAGTACTGTAAGACTAAGCATCCAGTTTCAATATTCAGGTTTATTATTTCAAGCTACAAGGGTGAAAAACGTTATTTCGGTTTGATCAGGGACATTGATGCTTAACTGGTTCAGACTGAAATAGTATTACATGGCATAAAGCCTATTCTAAGTTCCAAAATATTTTCAGTTCACATGGATGCACAGATAAGATTTTGTAAGAACTTCACAGAGTTACCTGAAGATTCTGTGGGTTCTTCTTAAAGCTATATTTCCTGTAGAAGTCAGGCTATTTTTTAGTAGTAGTAGTGAGGCTATTTTTATAGTTTGGGGGGTTTCTGGAAATACTCTCTTAAGGAATGGAACAGCTCAAAACAAAATATTGCTTTGTGCTATTCTTTCTCCAGCAATGGCTCAAACACAATATATGAACTGCTGTATCCAGGAAATTGCGACCTAGAAATTTTGAAGGAACTCTTCCATACCTAGATACTCCGTCGTTCCCATAATTTGCCGCAGTTCACTGGAATTCTCGATCTTCCGAGACATACCAAAATCTACAATCTTCACATCACCAAGAGGACTGGAGCTGCTCAGCAAGATATTTTGAGGCTAGAATAGATGAGTTTTAGTTAATTCATACACTACAAGCTGCATAAGAAACAACATGCCAAATGACATTCCAGTTTATACTATGCAAAGCTTGATGCAAAAGTTTTAAACATTGAGTTTTAAACACTAAGGCATTTTTAAAAAAGGTTAAACTTACATTATTTTGACCACAGAAATTTGCAGAGAGCTAAACAGAACAGACATTGTCTGTATTGTAAAATCTTTTGTATTCCAAGTTTTTAAACTCTATACTGCCCCTTTTCCTCATCTTTGTTATGTTTTAACAAATGATTTTTTTAAACAAATTTCGCAATATTAACTTGAAAGTAAACTATTGAAAGAAAAAAAGTCTGACACTGTTTCACCTTTAAATCAAGATGCACTATATTATTTTCATGCAAGCAGCAAAGTCCTTCAAGTATTTGTCTTATGAGCTTTACAATATCACTTTCACCAATTCTGTCATCCAAGTCCGGGATGCACAAGTTAAAAATTTCTCCTCCAGCAGCACTGAAACACATTCAAGAATATCCATTTATTAAACATGAAATGTCAAGCTTAAATAAAAAAAAAGTTACATATACAAAATACTATGTAAGTAGATATGGTAGTATTATATATGTACATAAATGTATTGATATCTATTTATTCACTATTCATCCTAGAAACTGTTGGGAAAATTATTTTTTAAACACACGTGCTAAGACATAGCAAGTGAGCACTTTGAAATGGAAAAGATGTAGCAGGGCCGGTCAGGAAATCTAATGATGCTTTTGTTGCAGGCCAACAGGGGTGCAAACAGGGACAACATTTTTTGTTTGAATTCCTCACAAAGCTTTGGAAGCCTCAACTTGGTTCTCTTGCAACTGGGCCTGCACAAGGCTCCAGGAAGATGAGTTCTGTCATTATTCTACAACAGAGGCAGAGCCTACCTCTTGAAATGAAACCTAAAATTTCTGTGACATCTCCAAACCTTCAAATAGAGCAGTTCCACGAGCAATTTAAGGGAAGAAAGATCAAAAGTGTTCTTACTGTCAAAGAGAAATTGATTTCAAAGATACAAAAACAACAACATAATAAATAGCTAGAGGTACTGAAGAATGCACAATTACTATTATGAAGCCTGCCATCCTGACAAAAGACTGAAAATGACCTATTTCTGCCAGAGCTACTGGGAAGAAAATCTTTCTCTCTGATGCTGCTGTAATGCCCAGCTCGGCCAGCCAACAAGCAATATCTCCAGCAGATACAAACTACTCATGCTTTGAGATGCACCATTTCCACACTAACAACAAAGATGAGGTTGACAAGCTTCAGGTTTTCAGAAAGCAATTCAAAATGGCTCCCTCAACTCTTATTTCCATATAGAAAACCGTTAGCAAAGCAAAAAGGAAGCATGAAAACGACGCTGCGTCACTTGGCTGCGTGTGGTTTCTTGGTTATTACCAACACTGTAGCAGCACAGCGTTTCCTTTCATACGAGCTTCAAACCATCACTCAGCCTGCTTTAACTGCCTCAAGCTTCTCTCCCTTGTGGAGAAAGGAGTTTCTCAACCAGAGGATTAATACCGAATTCCATCCTCAACAAAATGATAAAGTCTATTAAGAAAAAAAAAAGTCCAAGAGTGAGCCTATTAAGTGTTTCACTTCAATCAGATCAGTTTGTTTCTTTTTCCTGTATAAAATATGATGCTTAATATCACTGTCCTGGTATTTACATCCTAAGTGCATTTCTCAGTGTTTTGTTGATTTAACACATTCATACATGAGAAAGAATGCAATGTTTTTAAGACTTCTGAGAACACAATCAGGATAGGTTTTGGTCATTTTTGTTTTATGTCTCTACTCCATATTGTTTGATATAACTCTTTAGCTAGGGGTGCAACACAATACACGTACAACACTTACTACAAACATCTGAAGTGAACAGAAATGGATTCAACACTTACATTTACATGAACATAAATCATACCAAAAAATGCCGTGCGAGTTTACTGAGGTATAATCACAAGCATAATACACACCAGGTACTGTTGTAATTTTTCTGGGTGTTCAGGCACTTATGCTAAAACTGAATACATCGACAGATTTCTTCTTACAAAACACAGGACACCTGAAGAAAGCATACTTACTACTCCAGCACTAAGATGATTTCATTTGCTGTTTCATAGACTTCATGGAGATTGACTATCCGAGGATTAGATTTCATTAATTCAAGGACAGCAATTTCATGAAAAATCTCTGCTTTGCAGTCTTGACCTCGCCTTCTTTTCTTTAAAAATTTAGCTGCATATTCTTGGCCAGTGGATTTAGCTATACATTTTCTAACCACAGCACATCTTCCTCTGCAAAGTAAAAGGAAAACATTAAAACCTAACATATCAGAAGTAATTGAATTTCCATTAGAGCATGGCAAGTAAATGGCAGCTAGGGAAACTGTCAGGCGAGTGACATGTTTCGCCTTTTCTTACAATCCTGAATATCCACTTTTGGTCACTGTAAGCTAAAAGGAACTTGGGTGTGACAAAGTACAATTCCTCTCATGTACATAGAGCAACAAAACATTATATCAGAGTACCTGCCTACACAGCATTCTTACTGAAAGTTCACAGCTTCATAGAAAAACTCAGGTTGGAAGGGGCCTTTGTGGAGGTCCAACCCAACCTCCTGCTCAAAGCCTAGTCATCTCCGAGGCGAGACCAGGCTACTCAAGCAGAGATTTTGTTCAAGCTGGTAATATGTTACCAGAGAAAAATCAAACTCAAGTGAATTATGGCACTTACAGGATACAGCAAACACATCTGTTAAAGAGCAGAAAACTAGAAAGTTTGGGAGTTATGAAAAGAAGTTGCCTTCACAAACCACGTAAATACTGCTAAAAATTCAGTTCTGTCTTGTTAAAAAACAAATAAAAAGAAAGCCCCAGTACTTCACATTCCCTTTCCCAATTACAGTTAGGCAAAGCCTGCTATTTAATTTCTTAGCCAACCATCTAAGCATGGAAACAAAAATGTATTTTGGCAAAGATATGTTTTTAAAAGAAAACCACATACCATAGTTAGAACACCAAGCTGACCTTTTTTTTTTTTTTTAAAAAAAAAAAAAGGAAAAAATGCAGTATTTAAGCCAAGTTATGAACTCCCAAAAAAACAAAGTTTTATAATCACCAGTTACACATTCCCCAAAATGCTTTGTTGCATACTTAGGAAGTGTTTTCAAATCAAACAAGAGGCTTTTTTTTTTTTTTTTTTAAAAAAAAAAAGGCAGAAGGGCTAAAATAAACTATGTAAAGCTCTAAAAGCAGTGATAAAACTATGTACAAAGAACAAGAATGACACATCTTTGAACAACTGACATTTTTCCATGTGTACTTTTTGCCATCATAGCACAAACCCAATGAAGAGGCTGAATATTCACTATCTCATCTGCTTTTTCATCAATATTAACTCTTTTTAGTTAAGAATATTAGCTATTCCTGTGAAAGTCTTGCTCTTCATCTGGTACAAAAGACTGCTTAAAAGTAGTACATTTAAAATGAAAAGCATGTTTGTGGCATCTTTCAAAAAAAAAAAAAAAAACCCACGCCTGGATTTCAGCATTCTACTAAAAAAAAAAGTGCCATCATAAATCAGATTTCTATTATTAAAAGAATAATGTGTCAGGCACAGTTTGTACAAGTCTGTCTAAATTATAAATCACAAAGAGTTGACCTTTATTTGTACTTCTGTCATTTATATATAACACATTCAACAAAACAGCTTTTCTATCATCATTTTTCAGTGTCAATTACCTGTGGATTTTGTATTTTTTTGGTCCTTTTTCTAAGCATTACGTTCAAAAAGGCAGGAGCACAAAAACAAAAGAAAGCAATCAATTTAAGAGCCGAAAATCATTTACAACCTAATGTATACACACTTAATTTAGAAACAATCTACCCACCCATGTGAAACACCTAAGCATTCTCCTAACTGTCAAGGCAACTTACTGTCGCAGAGCATTGAGGATTTAAAGTTTACCGAGTTGAATTTTGTAATATACTTGAGCCTGGAGAGAGTCACCCACCACAGTTTCCTCAGACTGAAAAAGGGGAACTCTTTGGGTTTCATGAGAACAAGATCTTCCCCGAGAGTTTTTGGACATCTGTCAGGCAGTAACTGCAGATACGGCAGCTTTGAAGAGTCAGCAGTATCTCCAGAGAAGACTGATAATGTCTGAATTCCTATCTGCTTATACTGTTTTGTAGTGTGTCAATTATTAAAAAGTATAATTATAAAGTGAGAGGATGAGACTGCAAATCAATAGACACCTTTGAGGAAGTAAGCGAAAAGAAAACCATCTGAAAAAATAAATATTTTCTGGCAAATAGCGGTTTTATGCACCTCTGGCATCTAAAAAATGCATTTCACAAACAGAGTGCATTTGTCATGCAAACCAAGTTTTATACAGAAGTCCCTCTTCAACATAACAATTTCCTATCAACTGTTAACCTTAGCCATGTGAAGGGGTGCTGCGATAAGTCTTGTCTGGCTTCTGCCTCCTTCTCTACAGACTCCAGTGTTTCATCGCTTAATCCACAGCTTTCACCACAAAGAATTTTCAGCGGACATCTTTTTCCATCCCTTTTACCTTCACATGATCATGCTACCATTCCCCAAAGTATGGGATAAACTCCTTTAAAGGCAGGATACATGGGTGTATATAAAACTTAGTCCTATGCAAGCAGGCTTTTAAAGGAAAGACAGTCAAGGATAAAGACATTGAAACACTTTTTTTTATTAGGATATAGAAAATAAGACTATGCTTCTAAAAGCACCTGCAGACAAGCTAACACAGTTAATACATCCTGCCAGCTAACTGTAATCTCACAAACCAAAATTAAAAAACATCCCTAAAACCTGACAGCTCATCTACGAGGCAGCACTTCAGTGTAACGGCAGAGCTGCACCTTGAAGAAACAAGTTTTCTAGCCGAGGACCCTCCAGTAAACTGTTTGTTCCCACTCCTTGTTGCCGGCAAGCCATTAGAGTTCACAACCCAGTTTTATAAGATAAAAACAATTCAAGTTATTTTCACATCGCAAGCCGTAAACCACAGCTACTCAACTACTCTGGAAGAAGCCAAGCCATCTGCAGGGACACAACTACTTTAATCCTCCAACAAAACCTGCCTTACCCGTGAGTCACTGTCTTAAATACCAAGAGGACCTAAAAGATAAAGGGTGTGGAGGAAACAGAAGAGGAACAAAAGAACTATACATAAGTAATCTGAAGAGGAAGAAGAAAACAGCAGGACCTAATTACACCTATTAGAGAAATTACATATAAAGATAAATTTTATACCACTTAGGAAGAAGTGTAAGCATCTTTTAAACATTAAGACGATAAAACATTGAGAATAGATATGAACACTTAGGTCAGGAAAAGTTCAATAAGCTGTTTGGAAAAGCTATTTCCCTGCCTGTTTCTTTACATTTTAGCATTAACTTTTTAAGTCTCTTTTTGTAGGGACTGTGTTTTGGAATGCCTGCAAAATCCATGCATGCAGATGCCTCAGACATTATGTCTCAGGTCTGTATCATCTGCAAATACAGTTTTCAGATTATCAAAGCTCTAGAGGAGCTATTATGTTTGTATTTCTATCCAATGCTGTGAGTATTCTGAAGGTATGAAGAAACACACATAACTCAGATGTCAGTGGTAGTATAAACATAGAGGATTGAAAAAATTATTTTACTATTGCACATGTCAAGGCAGTTGACTACAAAATAAATCTGAAATGGCAGGTTGCTAAAAAACTAGTCAGTCAAAATTGTTGAGGATGAGAAGAAACAAGTCTTTGCTCTCTAGATGATTCCAGCCAACTGAAATTTCTCATTTTTGCAGTGTCACCCTACGCCATCTCCTCTTTATACACCTGGAATCTGGGGCATCACTGGAGAGGGGTAATGAAAAATAAGGACATAGCTCTCTCTCCACGTGTACTGCCAGAAGAGTTTTCCAGACAGAAACTCTATCACTGCACTGAGGATTTGGCTGCAGCAGAAATCCCTCTTATTAGAAGTCTTACCTTCCTAGTTCTTTAGATTCAAGAACATAGAAATTGTGAAAATTGTCTGTCCTGATTTGCGTCTGCAGAGATGTGGCCAGCAAGCCAGAAAGTCCTTTATTCTCCAGCTTTCTCCTGGACATGGTTAGGAGCAGATGTCTCTCTTCTACCAGTTACCTGTTAAGACAATATATACAAGAGTTCTGGAAATCCCACAGCTACACAGCAGCAAAGTATACAAATATTAGGGCTAACAAAATAGAATAGCCTTAGGTTTGCTTAACAGTTACTAAAGACAACATATTTACATTTTTTTTTTTTAAATTTCATTAAAGTAAGCTTTAACTCCTTTACAGAATCTAGAGTTCTGGCAATTCCCTGATGTTTTACACTCCTTGTTTTTAATTAGTATTGGCTGACTTGAACAAGCTTCCTTCCTTCTTCTTGTCTGCAACACAGCAGGCACAGCTGAGCAGAGGAAAATAAAACAAGCTCAAAGCTCTGCATTTTTATTAAACTTACTTGTAGCTCACCTAAGCATTTCTTAGTGCAAGACAAATTTGTCAGAAATCACTATGAAAGGACAGCATCCTTTCTGCAGGCTCAGATCTTTTAGAACCAACAAATAACTAGCAATATTAAAGTACATTAATAAATTGTGCGTTGTGAACATATCCTCACCCTCGTTATTTCTACTGGTCACCAAAAGTAGCTCAATATGATCTGGGCATATTGTTTTATGGCTTTCACACAAATAGGCCTGGCACAAAAGCAGAACACCGTTATGTTATTTAAAGAGAAACTTTAATTAATTGCTTTGTAATAAATTGAAAAGCAGGATTATTCTTAACGGTGAAAAAAGAACGCAAATAAGATTACAGGTCAGAACTGAGCTAGCAACCTTATAAAAACATACTTTAATTATCCAAATTATGCTCTCAAACCCTCTGGGGCAGTACGTGACCCAGCGATAGCTCAAACAGCATCCAACCCCCATCAAACAGGGGGCAAATCAGTTCTGGAAATGCTCGCACTCATACTGCAACTCCTCTAGATTTAAATGAAGGCTTAAGCGAGGGAGGGAGGGGAAAAAAACTATCAAAAAAAAGTATCTCTATGTCTTTCAAAGAGTATCTTCAACTAGCACTGGACCAGCATCCAAAAGAGCTTTTTAAAGATTTCTCGAGGGGCCCCAACAGGACAACCTTGAATCAACCCCAGCAGCCGCCGTTCCCCAAGCACGTCCTCCTTTATCCCGGATTACGGGGCACATCCTCCTCTTGAGGAGGATGAAGCAAAGACGTGCAGCTTCCCCGCGGCCTCCCCCGCATCGCGCCGCGCCGTCCCACAGGGGCACTCACCGCACTCACCGCGCTCCAACGAGCCCCCGGCGAGCCCGCCCGTAACGGCCGCCCAGTAACGGCCGCGCCTCAACCGCCACAACGGCCGTTTGAAAAGCGCAGCCCCCGAACCGCGGCTCTGCCGGCGGCGCCCAGCGCGGCCCGCCCCAACGGCAGCCCGCAGCCAATCCGCGCCCAGCGGGCGGCGCCGTCCGCCCCGCCGGTTGGTCAGGCGCTCGCCCAATGAGGTGGCGCCGCCGCCCGGCTCCCCTCGCGCCTCGGGGGCGGCGCTGAGGCGGCTGCAGCAGGTGTCGCCTGCGCGGGGCCGCGGGGTCCCCACGGGGCGCCCGGCCCGGCCCGGCCCGGCCCGGCTCGGCTCGGCTCGGCTCGGCCCGGCCCGCACCGCTCGGCTCGCCGCCAGGCCGGGCACAGCGGCAGCCGCGGCCCCGCGGCGGGGCCATTTTGTGTCCCTGAGGCGGCGCCCCGGCCCCGCGGCGCTTACCTGGCGTCAGCGACACCGTTTATCGTGAACGGGAGGTGACGGGTTCACGGCAGCTGAGTTCAGATCGAAAGCGCAGGAGTTGGGAATGCGGCCACGATAACCTGCTCAGAGCTTCAGAGTGGCTGTCGCGGCTCGACCTTCCCTCTGTAACTCGGGCGTTTTGAGCAGTCGTTGGACAGAGTCAACGGCGGCGCTGCGGCCTCCCCGCTTTCTTCGCGGTGTGTGACCCGATTTCAGAGGGCTCTGCCAAATGAAACAACCGCACCGTGCCTGGAAAGGGCTCCTTTTGTTGAGGTTTTTGCACAGTCTGGAAAGCAGCGTTGCGGACGGGCCACATGACCGCAGGAGCAAAATGAGAAGATACCGCAGTGGAGATGCTTTAGGTTATTATTGCACGTAAGGCCAAAAATAAAGGCCAGTGCTTATGTGTGTCCCCCAGCTCCGTGTGTCTCCGTGCAGATCTTTTCCAGGCCAGGGCTTGCTGCGCTCTCCCAGTGCGGAAAGCCGAGCAGGCAGTGAGGACGCTCCATGCCCCAGGAGCGTTATTGCCGTCTTTGTTGTGTGTTGATGGAGCGCCACGGAAGCAGGACACGTGCCGGGCACCCTGAGGAGGGTGTAATCCGTGGGTCTCCACCCCAGGACTTTGGAATTTTAATTAGAGACAACAGTGAGTGACAGGGGTGGAGAAGGGAGAACGGCAGGGTGAAGGTTACAGCAGGAGCCTGAGCTTGGCCTCTTATCATGCACTCATCTGACTAGCTTGGTTTAAAAATTGGTTCTACTAGAACTTCAGGTGAAGGTCAGTAGTGGATATTTTTTAAATTACGCTGAATGCATTAGCTTCAGAATTACTATTCTTACCACTAATTTTCTCTTATTATTTTTATTCCTTCCAGCATTGCTGATTTCAAATGAGACCTATGACGGGGTTGACGTAAACAGCAGCTGGCTTTGTTGTTGCAGCACAGGACAAGAAGGCAACACCAGTTAAGAGCCACACCAGTGAAGTTGAGACTCTCGAAGCCTTCCTCTCCAAGCCAGTTGTGATAACTGCTTGGACAAGACATTGGCAAGGCAAGATCTGGGCTCTAGGTGACCCTGTGTGTGCAGGGGGTTGGACTAGATGATCTCTAGAGGTTCCTTCCAACCCTCTGTGGATTCCTAGGATTCTGTGATTCCCATGGCACAGCCACAAGCAGTCAGGATGCCCTAAACTGGATCCTGTATACAAACTGTGATCCTGTATACAAAAAGAACCCTCACCTGAGCATCTTCAGTGCTCCGAAGCTCAAACGTCACGGGAGAGGATGGATAGAGATGAAAACTGCCCGTCTGAGTGAGCGGTGGTATTCCAGGACCCAGGCTGAGCATTTTCTCTCTCGTTTTGCAGGGATAAAATGAGCAAGAAAAGACAAAAAAAAAACCCCAAACTCACAGACATTACCCCATGGCCTAAACATATCAATGATTAGCTGAAGAAGCCTAATATGCCCATTGCCAAACTACAACCCAGAGTACTGTAAACGGTACAAGTAACAGAGACATTTAATAAAACACCTAACATTTCCAACATTTCCAGCTCCTGCTACCCAGTGTGCCAGTCCCGCCATATCTACAACAGTTCTAGAAATGACCTAGTCATGGGATGTTCCCATCCCTCACCAAGGTAATAGCATTTTACTTAATACAGATGTTTTTAAAAGCCAGCTTTTGATAGTGCCATTTTTTTTCTTTTCTTTTTACAGGAATCCTACCACAGTTACAGGAAAGGAGTGAGCAAAGGCAGGCAGCTCTCCCCGCTGAGGCCGGTCCCTGTTGCTAGAGGTAGCCTCATCTGTCCCAAAAGGAGGAGGAATCACGTGGTGGTGCCTGTTGGTGGTGGACACCAGTGGTGGACCTTGGGTGGTGGGGGCGGCTGGTTGCTCGCACCCTGCCCAGCGGCTCCCGTGTCCAAAGGCACCTCTGGATACAGGGATTTGGCAGCGGATGCTCCAGCGAAGGGCGCAGAGGCTGGGCGGGCTCCTCCAGCATCCCGGGCTTTGCTTGTTTTATTTGCGACCGCCTTCGTTCCAAACGTAATCCTGGCTCAAATTGGGGGGTGCCTTGTTGCAGGATCCGTATTTGCTTCCAAAATGATGACCAGCTGGGAAAAGATGGTGTGAGGGGTGGCACCACCTGGGTTCTCTGAGTGTTTTAACCTGCTGCATTTGATGAGCAACAATCTGCAGAAAAGGACTACTCGTTTAAAAAAACCGCGATACATTCAGAGGCACGATAAAAGCGTACACTTCCGAAGGTGCTTTTATAAGAAGATTTATTTTGAATTAAGTGATTTCATGATGAAACATGGTCTTAAACAAAATAGATATCAGTATGAAAATAAAATTACACACAGAAAAATCTTTTCCCAAAATGTTCCTGTGTAACAGGAAATGCAACGCAACAGTCCAGTGTTCAACTAAGTAAATAATTATGCAGATCTGTGAGCAGATTTAAACCTGACATTACAGTCCTTGAAGCCAGGCACAATGAAACACCCCTGTCAGACACACAGCACATCTCATACCTGCTCTCCCAGCCTCAAAATAAATTGAAATGTGATGCAATGTCAATGGAGAAAAAGACATACACCATCTTGATGCCTAAAGCACATTTTCCCCATTTAGTGTTTTGTGAGACATATACCAAATCCAGGTGAAACTTAAATTCTCTTGTAGAAAGATAGAAAAAACTTGGTATTGTATTTGATATACGGTCCTGTGGACACTAAACTGAAAACTATGGAACGGATTAAAAAATACACCACAGGTTATACTTAAAGCTTAGAAATAAATACGCACTATATATTCGCAGTGCCCGAAATCCTTTGAGAACAAAGAACTTGGTATAAAATTAGATCAAGTAATTGTCAAAAATGAGGGAGATGCTAGAGTCTGGATGCCTGCATCCCCGCTACAAAAACTGGTAAAACTACATGCAGACACACTGAAAACCAAAGCTTCAGTTTGGCAAGGATGAGAATAGCGGGGGGCACCAGCTGGCCTTGCCAAACATTCACTTTAGTGCCCTGTCTTCTCCAAACTGTTCCCTTTCTGTCCTGTCCTGTCCTGCCCCTTGCGAGTATAAATATTCTGTTGCTCATACAAAAGGCAGCCTTGCTGATGTGGATTCATGGATGCTGTCATAGTTATGCCATCCAAGGAAAAAGAGAGCGAAAAAGAGAGCACAGAGAAGAAGTATCCTGCTTTATGATTTATGTACATCATTTATGTACTTGATATCGTTAAAATTCTTCCTCCTTGTAGCACTGATAATGAACAGCAGTCTCCAGGTGGACACCTTGCAGGATAAGGCCCTGCTGCGTGGACGGACTATGGAAGCAGGAGGGTCCAATGCACTGGTCGTCTTCTAGTTGGCGACTTCACATTCATACGGATCTCCTGCCACCTCAGTTACCATCTTGAGTTTCTTTAAGGTGAAGAACCAGATCCTGAAATGCTTCCTACCTTCTTACTTAGTATTTCTTTTTGTTTTTTAATTGTCATCCTGCTAGAGGGTGAGAGTTGGCCAAAGCCAACGTAGTCATTGCGTTATCACCTAAAATACACGCCACAAACTCCACACCAATTCCAGAATGGCAATAAATAAATAAATAAACACTCTTTGTGAAAAAAATCATGTTTTTTATAGAACCCTAACACAACCCAACCATCTGAAATAAGCACATTGTTTTTCACTTGCCTTTTGATTTGGCCCACTACACTTACAAGGAAAGTTACCATTAGTGGTAATGATTTAACTTTTTATCAAGCACCGATTAGCTTGCCAGGACAGCTAGTCATAAACACAGCAACTGTAAAAACACAAATAAACAAGACTTCCCAGCACCACCCTTATCTTATCTATAGAGCCCTTCATTCTCTTGAGCAGTCCAATTAAAGAGAACCAAACCGAAAGGACAAAAACAATTACCAGAGGAATTATTTTTCCCATCTTCCGCTCCAGACTGTATAAACTTAAAACATTAGCTAAAATACATCTTGCTGCACGTGCGGGCGACACCACTGTAATTCAGGCTTAGGAGCCCGTTCTCCTGGTGTGTTACGTTAATACTCTTGCGTGTCCCTGTTGAGTGAGCAGGGCTCAGCTCTGCTCCGTGTCCCAGCTGCTATTTGCAAATGGCTAATCCTATTTCTGTGCCCGCTCTGTCAATCCTGTCCTCGCCCTAGCACTCTTCACGGGCTGCACTTTGTGCGCTGGACCTTCCCTGTGGAACAACCGCATCTTATCATTACAATGCCTGTAATTACCTCCCTGCACCAGCCTAAATTATGAGGCTTTGGAGATTTGTTTATTCAGGCAGGAATCTATTTATAACCGCTCAGCTCCAAAGTCTCACTGCCATCAGCACTGCAGTCGAATGTGACATTATGACATCTGGGCAAAAAATACATATCTATTTTATATATTTTTTTTTTGCTATCTGGACTCATTGGTATTTTCCAGCTGTAAAAACCACCGTTTTCTTGATTTAAGATGAGAGCTGCTGCTGAAGGGACGTGTCGGTAGATGATGTTGGGAGCCACCTGCACTGCTCTGGGCATCCCTTTCCTCATGGGGATGCGGAGGGGCTCCTGTGGCCTCGGGGGCCGCCCTGACCTGCCCCACAGCAGGGGCTACTTGTGCCTCCTGGCAGCACATGGGTAAGTTCTGGTCAAAGGAAACTTGGTGAGAACCGTCCCCTACCTCTGTTACCTCTGCAAAACCAAAGCCAGAGCACATCTGCCCACTGGATACCAAGTCAAGTGTTTGTTTTCCAAGTAACTTTTATGACTATGGGATGAGGAGATATTTGTCCTTAACTCACGCACAACATCTATATTTCAGAGCAACTCTTGGGCTCTTGCCGCTGTGGATTGGTGGCAGCTACTCCTGTTGCAAGGGAGGCCAGTTTCCTTCTCAGCAGAAGGATCAATGGAAGCACAACCTGGTGCAGACCCTGCAGCTGGTGCAGGAGGCCGCCGCTGAGGACCACGTGCAGGTAAAGGGGAGAGGACACCCTGTGGGAAGCGGCCCCGGGGAAGGCAGGCCAGGCTCTCGTGGAACACTGCAGGCCTGTATATTTAAAAATGATTAGGTTGAGATGAGCACTGAACTGCCAAACCAGTGGAACAGCCGACTGAGGCTGTTGAATGGACTGAGAATAATGTAACTATGTCCTGAAAACCAAAATATAATTTCCACTATTCAACTTTTTTTTTGTTTGTTTAAAAAAGGATGAAGACTTGGGCTTGGCTCTATCCTAAATTCACCATAACTTCCATTTATCTTTCCCTCAGACCAGCAATTTCAAATGTAACCCCCTAACCTTTTTCTTTTGTTAAAATATCTAGGCAAAAACCCTTAGCTTAGTTCTAACACAGCCACTGTGGCTGTGCTAACAACACTGCAAAGGTTTTGTGCTTGCAACATCTCATCTTAATTCTCTTGCAGTCTGGTTGTGGCCTGCACAGTAGAGGCAAAACACAAACGGTTGAAGAATCCAGGCTTGAGTGGTTATTCTGAAATATTCTGCTTGCAGTAGACTTTGCTTACCTTTAGGAAGTGAGGAGCAGTGGATAGGAAAGGGGCGTAACAGTGGTGGCTGAGAGTTAACCTGCGCGGTTCACGTTAAGGCAAACGCCTGTAATCTTAACGCTGGAGACAATCCTTAACGCTGGATCCTCGTTAGCACTGAAAGGACTAAGTTGCTCTTCCACGTAAAACTAGTGGCAAGATCAACACAGTTGTTAGTATAATTTAATATAAATAAGTCTCAATCGCTGAGAAGGAATAACGGGCTTTATGCCGTGGCGAACGAACTCATCCCGGCTATCCCGGCAGAGCTATCCCAGGCTTCCGCTCCGCGCGCAGGAATTCCAGGCCTCCCGGACAAGGCGCTTCCAGACGGTTCCAGGACCCGCAGCCGCTAACGCCGCAGGCTCTCACAAAACTCCTGCAGTTAATACCGAGATTACCCACGGCAAGCAGATGATACAGCGAACGCTTGAGAAGCAAGCTTGCGTGTGGACATGAGGAAGAAGGAAATCACAGAGGAAACCACAAAGCTGCTTTCTTTCCTAATAATTAAAATCCAAGCAAACTACGGGTCCGGTGCTCTGACAGGGTACCTCGGGCCAACCCATTTTTCTGGTGCCCTGCCAACATGCTGCTCCCTCCCAGGACACGTATTTACTGCACGCACTGCGTGACCTGGGGTAGCGGCTTTAATGTGGGGCTGACGCGGCGGCCAGCAGGTCTGCGGCCGGGCTGGATTTCACCCTGCACAGCAGCATTAACGCCTTTTCACGGCAGGCTCACAGCGTGGATAATGAAAAATAGTTTTGAAAACAAAAAGGGAATTGCCTAAAGAATCCCAAGAACACCTGATGACATGTGTGTGGGTTCCAGGCAGCTGAATTATACATTGCACTGCAATTTATTGTGGATTAAGAGAATCCTTCAGCACATGGACCTGCCGCCGATGCTGGGCATGCAGCCGAGGGCCGTCTCCAAAGTGCAGCGGGCGCCAGCTCCGCTGTGACGATCCCGTCTGCCCCATTCCCACCTTTTGCAGGGTGTTGAGCAGCACCGCTGTCCAACCGTAGCACCGCGTGTGTGAACAGCCCTCCGCGTGCCGGGGTCTGCGCGCTGGTGATCTTGTCAAATGTTTGCAAAGTTCTGGATTGCGACAAGTCAACTTCCATTATTTGGATATGCATAAATACAGAACGAATGTGTGTGGTAGATATAAATAAAAACTGACAGATGCATTTATTATTTTTGATTTGTACAAAAGCATAACTTAAAGGCAGACTTGTATAAACTTCTTTTGTGCCAAATATTTAAACTTTTAATCCCAAAGAGTTTCTGGTTCTGTAGGTACAGTTTCCACCTGGGAAATCACCTTTTTAGACCACAGATAACACAGTATTGTAAAATCAAAACTCTGCCGTCCCTCAGCCAAGCACAAGTTGCATCCTGCTCCGAGCGCCAACGTTCCAGCTACTCAATAAAGTGACCGTAAGGAACGAGCCCTGCTGGCGGGATGTGCGGAAGGGGAGAGCTTGGCTACTGCTCAGGGTGTGCACGAGCACGTGGGACATGCAACCGCAGCAAAGATGGGCAAGCGTGAGGGTGAGAGGAGGATGCCAGGCTTGGATTTTCCTTTGCTACTGAACGCCGGTCAGAGGAGGCAAGAAAACTTGCGTTACTTGCATGAGGTCCAGGCGTCATGCAGAGACCGAGTTACTCCTGAAATCACAGGATGCTTTCGCTCGGCTTTTGCGAGTGGGTTTTCCTTTGTGCTGGGAACATTTGCTCCGGAAGCCCCATGGGATTCCTCATTCTCAGCTGCCGCCACCACGATCGCGGGGACGGCAGCTGCTGCTGTGACATCTTCACTGCTGAAAAGACGCCCAGCAGGTCAGGAGCGAGCAGGACACCTCCCTGAGGCACTCGGTTTCCAAAGCAAGCACGGCAAGTTGACTTCAAAGCCACCTTCTCCCCCGGAGCAGGCTTGCAGTACTCCAGCGCTATCGGGAGGAGCAGCACAAAGGAGCTTTGCGCTCTCGCTGCCCTGCATCCAGCGCAGCTTTCTGACCTGTTCAGAAGCTGCTGGACGGGCAGCACCTCCGCAGCTGCACAGCCACGGTCACGGCTCTCTGCCGGCTCCCCGGGACCATCCGCAGGGAAGTACCAAAAAGGGAGGCCAGCGGCGCGGTGCCTTTCCGCAAAACCAGGCAGAAACAAAGTGGCGCCCATGCAGCGTTGGAATTGCCATAAAAAAAGAACTCAGTCAAACAACACTGGATAAGAAAGCTACTTATCAGAGAAAATGCAAGCTTAAAAAGACGATGAACAGTTTACATCTTTAGGTGTTCACTGACAGAGGACAGCAGTGGCATTCTGCTCAGTGCTTCACCTTGAAGGAGGCTGCTCATGGATTGCCAGCTAGTGTTTTATGGTGCTGTACAAATAAAAACTTGCGGGGAACGTATGAAATATCAGTATTAAACTCCTTTGCATTAAGTTATCCAATGCATGAAAAATGACCCAGATGCATTTAAAATAAATGCATATTACAATATCACATATAATAAGTATTATAAAATTATTACTTATGTGCTCAGTCCTGATATCTATAGACATGGCACCGTGAAGAAAGCCTGGTTCCTAAGCATTTTATAGATACTCGATAGTGATGCAGATTGCTGTCAGTCAGATCATAATGTCCCTTCAACTTTGGTACATTCAGTGCAAAATATTTTGGGAGTTTTTTTTTTACCCTTATAAAAATAAAAGGCATTTTTTTTCCCTTGAGAGTGCTTAAAGAATAAACACTAGCACAATGCCTGTTGAAGCATGAAACGTGACAAAAACAGAAAGAGCATTTCTAGTTTGCTTGGTTCCTGTTCACACTCTAAGAAACTCATAATATAATGAACCTATAAAAATAAACAGAAGTCACTGTGTAAGGATTCTTTTCCTGATATGCTGTGATAAATTGCTAGTTTCTTCTTAAAACAGTTTCCATGCAGTATAAAGCATAAAATCAGTCTTATTGAGTTCATTTTATGATAGCTCTGGGTTTTTTTTTGTCTGTTTTTTTGCCATACACACCGCTTGCATATACAATTCCACAAACCTCCTTAGCGCCAGCCGTGGCTGCGATGTCCTTTGCTGCAGACTTTCCTTCCAACTCACTTGTGCCCCAGGAAGCTGCAATCTATGGTGCACACCATGCAGGCACTCGTAGTCTTAGGTATAGCAAGGACTGGATATTCTAGTCTAATATATGGCATAAAATAATGAACCCTTATGAATCTTTTTTAAAAAACATGTCTACGGTGTAAATTTGTTTCATTTATGTAATGAGGGGGCTGAATGATTTCTCATTTTGCCCGAAATTTCCTATTCAGCAACTTTGGTGAGCCCCAGTTTATGGGTGTAGGTGGGTTTTGCTGCAGCCGTGTTGATCGCAGCACGGGACCGCGTTTCCTGGCGCACAAACGTAACAAGTTTGGCAGTCCTCAAGACCTGTGGATGGCGAGACCTGACTCTCCCTGCACGCCAGGCACACACCAGTGTCTCTGTGGAGGATCTGCCACTGCCACAGGGCCTTCAAGTCCTTTGCAAGCTCACTCCCCAAATCCCGTTTCCCGAATTGTACAGTGAAACCATTTTCCGCTAGGAAACACGATAGAAACGTTCGTTCAGCCTTTGAGAAGACAGATCCACCACGTCCACCGAGCTGGGCACTGTGGCTAGCGAATCACTCAAGTCCAAACGTACTCGTCTCTTCCACTGCTGTCAACAGTTTTTCGTACAACATTGAGAATGACGGGTAAGGGGGAAGGTCCAGACGATTGAAACAAGTGTGAGCCCTTGGGGAGGCGAAGGGAAAAGGAGGGGAGAAAGAAGAGGCCAGTAAATACATTAGTCAAAGGAGTTCAGAAGCAAATACACACACTCACACTGGTACATGCTCGTGCAGCGACAGCCAGAGTCTTCTTTCAGCAAACGTGCCATCAAATGACATTTTCCTGATGAGAAAGTGGTGGGGTGTAATCTGACTGTTCTAATTAAAATAATTCAGTGAGAAGCATTTGTCAAGGTCTTTAGAACCGTAGGAATAGGTCAAAAGGGGCAATGTAAATTTTATGCATTAAATGTGAAAGAGAAAAGAAAAAATGAAAAAAAGGTACAATTTAAGAAGGAGGTTCTGAAAGCTTGGTTTTAAATGCATCTTTTGAGAAGTAACATTTTTCTCTGCACTGATGATACTTGATTACTGTATTAGCCATCATTTACAGGCCATTACAGTTATTGGATTTGCTGAAGTATTAAAAAAGTGCTTGAAATGTGCAAAAAACCATTCTGCATGAATACAGGACAGACTAACCTGACGCTCTTCACACTTCCTCAGCCAGTGGGTGGACTCCGGCCCTGGGAAGTGACTTTTCGGATCCATAATTCAATCTAATTACTGATTTATGCTTTTACAGATGTGGCTGGGCAAGTCAATGACCTTTAGAACAAATCCTTCTGTAACTACATGGGAATATGCACGTACTTCTAAGGTACCTTCACGTGCACTTAAAGAGGATAAATACCATTTTATTTCTCAGTTTCTAATCTCAAGTCTTTTGATACACTTTGGGCTGACTCTTGCAACCTCCTGCAGCAAACAAAAAGGGGGATTATAAACATTTACACTCTTAGAAGAATGATGGGACACCAAAGGATGGGCCACTGAGGATAATTATGCCTAAAACACTGTCGTGGACGAGCCTGCTCCAGTGAAATAGGTAATACAGCTGCTCCTCTGTCAGGTTCTTAGGGAAGAAATGCTGGGAAGGGGAGTAAAGCTCTTTACTGAAGCCTCACTTCAGTTCTCTGTAGAGGATGAAAATCTTTCAGTATTTTGATAGGTCTCTGCTTAAAAATTAACTTTATTGTTTTCCAATAAAACGGTTTACAGTTATTTCAGTACATTTCAGGAGATAAACATTTCCAGCAACGTCCCGTCCTTCACAGCATGACCCATATTAAAGATGAATGTAAAATGTCAGTGGAAGGACTCGGCAAGGTCCCTAATAGCAAGTACTGTTCTTCATTGACCCTGCCAACGAGGTGCCTGTCCAGGGCAGACCTGTAACGAGCTTTCTCCAAGCCAGAAGGAGCCACCTTCCATGGGAGCAACTTGACTGCTTGCTGAGAGGCCAAGTGCCTCTCAGATCTAGCTACTAAATTGGTTAAAAACACACCAGTTCATTACAAATCCCAGGGAAGGTCAAATACGTCACTTAAAAGTGACAGCTTTATGGTGTCATAAAAATATTGGGCTTGAGAAATGCACTCACAGAGTGTCACAAACATCAGTGTCAGCATCAGGAAGGCAATCCCTTAACATATGTATTGTATTCTTCCCTCCGCAGGAAAACAAACAAAAATAAAATGAAATGAAATGAAATGAAATGAAATGAAATGAAATGAAATAAAATAAAATAAAATAAAATAAAATAAAATAAAATAAAATGAAATGAAATAAAATAAAATAAAATAAAATAAAAAAATAAAATAAAATCTGCCAAGGTGGCTGGAAGACCTCAGTGATCTCTGGAGTTCAGCGCAGACTGAGGAGGAGTCTTAGGCAATTAACAGTCTAACCACATGCTCCTGCTGCGTGGACTGACAACCCCTCATTAGAACTCTGGGTCATGCTGTGTGGGCTGTGAAACCACAATTTTTAAAAGACACAGTATATAATTAGTGAGGGAATCATTATAAACTGGTTTAATACTAATAAGTTTCCACAGGAACTTAAGGAAGCATTTCTTCACTGTGAGGGTGACAAAGCACTGGAACAGGCTGCCCAGAGAGGTTGTGGAGTCTCCTTCTTTGGAGATCTTTAAGGCCCGCTTGGATGCAGCCCTGTGCCACGTGCTCTAGGTGACCCTGCGTGAGCAGGGGGGTTGGACTCGATGACCTCTGAGGTCCCTTCCAACCTTCGGCATTCTATGATTCTATGATTCTATGATTCTAAGGTACCTTGCTTTTATTATGGAAATGGTAATTGAGTTTTATCTTAATTTGCAAGGTAAGTTTGGAAATGCAATCATCAACTTTGGAAAACCAAATCATTAAAAAAAGAAAAAAAACGGCAAAAAGGTAAGATTTTAGTCTATGGAGGAAACATATGCTTTTCTCACCCTAGCCAGCAGTGGTATCAATATTCAGTAAGAAAGATTTTTCTCTGAAAAGTATTTTCCTGTGCCAACATTTCAAATCATGTGGATGCTACCCATTCATCCTTCTGTACTCACATTATATGACAACACACCAAAAAATACTGGTTCCTAAAGTCTGCAGTTTGAGTTGACCTCCAGTTCACTATAACCTGAACAGCATTACAGCAGTGAAACGGGTTAAAGCCCAGCCATTCGACAAAAATATTGTTTGTATGTGAATGATAACGTGTGTTCAAAAAATATACAGCGACAAAAGCTACCGGGAACACAACCAACTTCTCAACATGTAAATAAACTGCATGAATTACAGTTTGCCTATTGATTTAGTGTAATGCACAAAGTGATGAGAGAAAAGGGGGGTAAAAGCGGCATCAAGGACAGTAGTAGCTACACTAAACTCCAAATAACAGATTTTTGGTGCCTTTTACATGCTACTGACCTACTTCTGCAGAAGTAGTACTTGACATGCATGTAGTAAAAGTGACTTGATCTGCATCTGACAAATCTCAGTATTTTGACACAGCATTTTGAACAGATTGCCCAGTAGCCCAAATTTGCAACTCAGGTTAATCTCTAGTGGAGATTTTTGTGTTTAGAACCCCAGCGGGTGAGACCACAGTCAGGTACCTACATAACTGTTAGCAGTCGGAAGCCTCTTGGTCTGGACTTCAGGCCAGTCCTACCTGGTGTCTACCTGGTCAAGTCTTTGAATCTGCCACGACTTGGGCTGAACTGCACACGGGAGCTGAAGAGCACAGGGGCAACTGCTGCTTTCTGCTTCGTGCTTCCACTTCAGGGTGCGCAAAGCAGCTATAAGCAGCAGTATATTTTCTATGACATCTAGGCTCCTTGTACGGATGCCAAGAATTGCCAGATTGTTGTAATCCCATATGTTTGTCACGGACAGCTCTTTCTTTAAAAATATGTACTGCTTGTTTCTTTTAATTCTCATATTCATAAAAACATGTCAAAAACAAAAGAGCACCTACTGAAACAAAATCTAATGTTTTCTAAACAAGGGAATCATAAATTAAACTCCAGAGGCTTGACACGTTCTCCTAGGCATGAAGGTGAAGATATGGCAATTCCTAGCACCTGCTGGGCACCCTACAGATGTGAAGATTCTCAGCACCCTTCCCCACTGCTCCATAGGGAGCAGTTTTATCCTATAGCAAGAGCTCTACATTACCTTCCCAGAGGAAATTCTGAGCATCATTTCCATGCATGGACTGACCTTTTCTGTATTGTAAGTTCTACATGTTATTGCAAGCAGAAAGTTCAATATTAAAGAGTGTAGGGAAAAGAGCAAAGGGAAAGATTTCCGCAATCTCTGTTGTTACATACGCTTAAAATAAGTTAGAATTAAAATGTTCATGTAGTAAATAATTAAAAATAAAAGCTGCTTCTTTTTAAACTGTATCAAAGCTAGCCCATACATCAATCAGAATCAGACTATAGGTAGACTTACCTGGCTGAAGCAGAGCACAGTATATTATATTTTAATTTACCTAACAACATTAAAATATAGATGTCAGCCACAACTACACTGCCTTGTCCATCTCCATGAGAGTCAAAATTGAGTTCAAAGAAACATGGATATAATCACACATTGCAACAATAGGGAAATAAATCATCTTGCAAGGCATCCCACATTTTATAACAACTTTTTTACTCTTTCCAAGGTGCTTATCCCAAGAGCTAATGTGCTAAGGTATCCCTAGCCTTAACATCACTAACACAATTTGCACACCCGGGCGTACCTTGGAAGAGCAGTGATCTTCCCCCACTTCTCCACGCAGAACCTTCTCGGACCGTTGCTCCCCCGTAGGGAGGCAAACCCTTCATAAGGGATGCTGGATGTGCCTGTAACAAACTGCCAACACAAATAAAGCATCACGGATAGAAATATATCAGTATGCCCATGTTAGAGCCATTCCTTATGTAACAGCACTTGCAAATAAGGTAATGTCTGAGCCTTAAGTAATAAAAGCTGCTTTAATTGTAGGTTAAGGGAAAATGGATCCAAATTCTATATTCAGTAGCAAAATCAAGAACAGTTTTCCTTTTCTGATTCACATATTATAAGCTTTAATATATATTTTAATCACTCAAGTATTTCTTTCTTAAGTGTATTTTTTAAGTTATAAAGTAATAAAAATACATGCTGTAAATTTTATTCACTTAAAATTACTACAGTAATCCTCTGAAGGTTACCAAGCTATTCCTATTAGCTAATACTGACATTATTTTAGGTGTTATAAACCTAGATAGAAATTAATTTAGTATTTAACTTAAATGACACCGAATATTTCTACATAAATCAGCTGATTTCTTACCTGTAAAAGTCTTAGTCGTTGTTCATTGTTGAATCTTTCCACAGCAGCCCAGAACCACCGAATTACAATGTGATTGTCATGATAACCTGTTAAAACAACAATAGGCTTTATATGTCTAATGACCACAAAAATGTTTGAGACAACACTAATAAGCTCTCCTAGCTCAGGCCTGGTCACAGTATTAATGCCATATTTCTTATCTAGCTGCAGCAAAAGACAAATGAGAGAAAACTATTTCTGAGAAGGAAAAAAAAAGTCATATAATGCAGGAAATGTGGCAAAAAAGAAATTTCTTTTGTAAGCATTTCTTTCATTAATCAGTCTCAAACAGGAGTGCCAATTCTTGGAGTGAGTGTGTGTGTGTGTGTGCGTGTAGCTAATAAATACATATATATGTAGATATGTGTGTGTAAATAAGATCATTGAAATATTTAAAGCTGCAAATGTTGCTGCAAACCATCTCCCTCAAAGTAGTTTCCATTTTCCACTGTTCTCAATAGTTCTCAACTGCCAAGCTGTAGTCACCTGGCACTGTTTCTAATTTTTCTTGAGAGGAGAAGAGGCAGATTCTCTCTCAAGGGAAAAAAAAAAAAGGTATAATTACTATTTCCACTCGACTCCAGTGTCTGAGTGATACGCTACCAGGGCGCTAGTGAGTAGAGTATCCTCTGTGAAGAGGCCTCTTTCATTTTCTATGCTGTTCAGACAAAAGAAAGTACAACACATCTGTATCTGTAGTATAGGATAATATATTAGTGTCTTAGAATTTGCGTAATTCCAGATTCCCCTACACTGTGAGTGAACAATAAAAAAATAATGTTACCTCCTCTATACTCGGTGTTATTTCTCCAGTCACTCAGGTCTATTTCTGCTGTTCCAGCTATGACCAGTTCCAGTTCTCTTGCATCAAATACAGACACGAGCCTGGCATCAACTACCTGGAAAATGAAAAAGAAAAAAAAAAGTGTATTAACATTTCTTCATTTATTGATTTTTGTACTTCTGTAAACAGACTTGTCTGTTATGACCACATTTATCAAGTAATGTACTGGCTTGCCTCATGAATAAGGTTTTTTTTTTATTTTTTTTAAGGCAAATACATAGACGATTTTCCCACCCTGTACTAAGGTGTATGTCCATTAAGTTTTATTAGAGGTTTCACTCAGTTTCATTCACTTTTGGTAGAAAAAGTTTATTAGCTTCAATAAATAATACTCAACTAAATGAGTAAATAACGCTCAGTTATTCTAGGACAGATTGAGATCAGTATGTTCAATTTCATTGTCCAAAGCAAAATATGCAAGAGGAATACCTTGAAATACAGTCTACTGGGTTATGCTCTGTATGGCATGTACTATGTACTCGGATGATCTCAGAGACCCAAAGAAGAAACACGTTCACTTCTGCAGCACTCACTGTCGGTCATACAAGCTAAAATCGATTATATTTTCTAGGGTTTTATAAAGGGAACTGCAGTATTTAAGCTAGTGATTAACAATGATATTTCCATACACACAGATATGTATAGGGCCACTTCTGGCTGTGCATTTATCTGCTTTTGGGGACAGTGTATTTAGGAAATGTATATGAGGAGAAAGATACTTTGAAGAGACACACACGTATACTAAATTGAAGCTTTTGTTTTGTTTTTACCTCATAGAAGCCACGAACTAGACTTTCTGTCTGTTGTACAACCCCTCTCTCAATTCTCCATTTCACCATTCTTTCTATATATTCCTTCTTGTTCTTCTCCGTAACTGGGATGTTGGCACCTCCTGGCTTCAACTCCCGTTCTGTGATCTTAGAAGAGGATGGCAACAAAACATTATAAAAAGAATAATTATAATAGTTAAAACTTCTAAGTTGAAGTAATTCCTTAATGGTACTAGCCAAGGTCAACTTTAAACAAATTGAAATATATGGAATGAGAGAACATTTTTTTCCCCACACAAGATATTTAGCACAAAATGTGAAGAATAATACAGGTGTTAATCTAGGTATTGTAATAGGATGCCTGAATGCTAAATCCACTGTAATTAAACTTAGGTGAACTACCATCAGTAAAGCAATCCAAAATTTTCATATTTTGAATACTCTGCAGAAAATCTTCTTAACCAGAAAGACACGTTTGACCGGTTACAGATAATAATTCCTCCCAAGATTTCAACATTGTTTTCATACATGAGAATATTTTAAAAACAAGTTAAAAATCATTAGGGAATGACAGTCATTTTCTGCCAAAATAAATGGTTAGCTTGCAGGAGATTATAAAGAGGAATGGAAATGAAAGCAGGAATCCTGCACACCTGCCCAAAAACTTCTTCATTCACAGTAAATGTCAGATCTAGGATATCATGTATGTCATTGTCCTTCATCCACTGCAGGCTCTGATGAAACTCCTCATCAAGGTATTCCAGGTCGCTTAGGTCACACAGTCTAACAAACAAGATGAAAACACCCAAGTATAAACGACAGCAGTGGCGTGCACTCAATAACAGAGCTTTGACAGTTACTGGCCTGCAAAGCAGACCAAGAATAAAGACAGCTAACAGAAAAATCAGGAGAACAAAGACACTGTTCCAAACCTCGGCGTGTTTGCCTACTAAAAATAGCAGCTACTTGCATAACTCAAACTGTTGTTTTGCTATTGTACTGAACTCCAGCATTTGCTAACTTAAAAGATGCACTGCTTTTCCAAGCTTCTGCTGCTTCTTTTTCTGAATCTGTCCCATACTCGGTGTACACAGTATTTCTTTATTTGAGCAAAAATTAGGAAAATATATAATATTTAAGAAAAATTTCAATTCAGAAATAAAATGTTAAGTTTTAATAACAGGCAGCTGCTGCCTTTTACTGCTTATGTTCCTACACTGCCACCTCTCTTGTCCCCTTGTTGTGCAAAGTCACTTCAGACAGCCTACTTACCACGCAAATACCTATGAACTTCTGTGATATTGCCCTTAACTGGTCCATTTATAAAAGTGAGCCAACTATTACAAGCTTTAAACATTTGAGTGGTCAGCTGCTGCTCTTGCCAATTCTGTGTGACACCTTGTTCTGTGAAATAGTTCACTGACATGAGGTGAAGCACTCTCAGGTCACTGCCTTGTACGTCCAGACATGCTGCCTAAGTGCAGTTCTTACTGCTTCAACCAGAACAGTTTTTCTAAAAAAGTCCGGTCTAAAATATCCCAAAGTAAAGCATCTCAACATGGAGACTGCCAAAAATCAGTCCACCTCTGAGTGGGTCTTGTGGTCTATGTTAAGTGATTCATATCCTATCCTATGAGTCACTGGAAGACATACGAATAAGAACTCTATTAATAACCGGAATAAAACCACAGCATTGTACAACTTGAAAAAGAATATTTTATAGACGAAAGATGATACCACAGCTAAAACAAGTCATGAGGGTTTGATGCTGCTCAGAAACAACATATATTGTGTTATTAGGTACCTGGCTAACATCAGAGGCAGAAAAAAATAAGCTTGTAAGGAAGTCTTGGCTTAAAATGAAATGATAGAATTACTGGAGAAAAACTTCATAATTTATCTCTACTCAAAATGGTGGGTGGGGAAGGAGACAGAAAACTTCTACTCACATTCGGAGGAGAGCTTTATAAAAGGGCCGTGTAAAGAAGGCATCAAGTAAATACTGATGTATGAGAGCAAGACCAAGGATCCGACCACTAAACCTGAACCTAGAAGAGAAAGAGTTACAATCATGGCACTGAAATCCTGTGGTCTGTACACTGCTTTGTCAGCAAAACTCACATATATTTCCAAAACTGCATTTTCAAATCAGATAGCAGTTTCAAATTGTGGTATTTTGTGTCTTCTCATGTCTCTCTGACATTTCTACTATGGCACACAAAAAAAGCAAATCAGCAGGGTGTGGAAAGCCCCTCAGTCATCTGAGCTGCTACTTTATAGAAATCTTGAATCCATATTAACCCGTTCGATCCCTACCAGACAAGGCCTTTATAAAAACACAGTTTCCAAAACAATAGCCAGTGTCTGCCTATTTTCTGCACACTCCTTGCATTGAATAATTTATTTTCACACCACTGAGAGGATGAAGATCTTTTGCAGCCTAACAGATGTTGCTCTTTTTTTCTCTTCTGCTTAGGGGACTTGCTCTCTCTTCTGACTATTGTGGACTTTCATATATCATTTAAAGAGCAGTGGCTGGATTCTTAAATATCTCACTCCTATATCTATAGGATCTAAATGACTTCCTCCACTCCTTTTTCCTTCTCTTATCTTCATTTTGCTGGAAGTACAGGGAGGATTGAGAGACAGGTTTGAGATCGGATGAGTCAGATAGTAACCTTGCAATAGAGGTAATGCAAGTATTCCCAAAACAATGAAGATTAATGAAAAATCATCCACATCTCTGGAACTAGGTTCAAGTCTAGTGTTACTTTTCAAAGAAAACAAAGTTTCTTACAACTTTCTGTTCAGATGCACCCTCAGCAGGGCTTTACCCGGGCAGACAAGAACCTTGCTGGTCACATCAGCCCCTCAAGGCCGCTCCTGGTCCTGGCTCCCTTGACCACTGACAAGGTCCATGCTGGAGACTCATGAGATTCCTCTCAGACACTCATTCTGGCTTCCATGGAGAAGCCAGCACCTACCTGTGCTACACAGACGAGCGGCTGCCATTCCACTGTTGCCATCACCTAATGACCCATCAAACAAGACTCTGCTGTTATTCACCACACAGCTTTACAAGCATGAGCTTCACAGGCTTACAAAGATCCCATGCTTTAAATTATCTGAGCACAATTAAACTGGGTGATAACTGTGAAAAGAGTATTACATAAAAACATACTAAAAGTATTTCTTTTTCCATTTTTTCTGTAAATCCTTGCCAACTATGCTAAAAGTTTGTGTCTGTGTACATATTTGGTCATGAGCTATGCTACCAGTAGCCTTTCTTTTTTACACTCAATAAAGATATCTGAAGAGATTCCAATCCAGTAGACGGGGGCTTTTTTTCCCTTGTAGAGACCTCTACACCCTTCAGGAAGTCCTGGACAAATGATGTACATCAACATTTCCTTCAAGTCAACTTAGGACATGAAGGGAGACAAAAGGCCAATATTTTATCCACAATTTCTTCTTTAAATTTGCCTGAGGGGTTAATACTGCTTTCACAAAATGACTGTCTCCTAACGCACGAGAAATGCAGAGTTCTGCTGTGAGATAATCCCGTGACACATGTTCCAAATCACAGTTTTGCTGACCTTGTGAGAAGTAAGATCATTTAAAATGACCACAAGAGAAAACAAAATGAAGAAAGTCTAGAGAAATGGAATTACTTTGCTGCTGGTTAAAAAGATCAAATTATGTGTTACATGTCTGAACAAATATGAGCTGTTCTCCACAAGTGGGAACAACAGAAGACATCTGAAAAACAAACAAACAAAATAATTCTTACCACTCATGGTGATTGTCTACAAAAGCAGACATAGGACTTATTTGTACTGTATAGGTATCATTGGCTGAGTATTCAAACAAACCATAGTAGGGGTTGAAGAGCTCTCTAGACACCAGGAAGAAAAACTCTCTTGAAGGTCCACTGTAGTCCAACCTTTAAAGAGAAATGTGACATTACTATGAAGTGTTTACTGCATACAATTAAACATGCTGGTGAATCTACATTCCTTATGTCACATTTTATATTAAACTTTCTTAACGTTTCAACCAGAACACTGACCCTGCACACTGCTTAATGCCAAGGGATGCAAAATGCTCTTGGAGTCCCTCTGAAATGGAAGGCTTGGAAGACTAGAATGAAATGCTACATGGATGGCCTTCCTCAAAGACCATCTGCAATGGTCCCTTTGCCATCGGAATCTACCAAATAATTCTGGAAAGGCAAAGGACACCTGAACACAACCAATGCTAGAACTATCTTCATCTGACAAAGTAAGGATGACGATGAACACTCATGGTCTGTCCTTGCAGCAGGGGTAATATTTCTGTTTTCCCTGACAGTACCATCAGAAATCACTTCAGCGTTTAATCTTTCTCGGCCTATTCAGTGCAATTAAATATCTTCTGCAGAAGGCATTTCCTTTGGGTTTTGCTATTTCAGGATTCCAGTACTAATGGACAAGGAATCTAAATAAACCCTTTCTCCTGAATCATAAACAAACTTGCTGCTGACAAAGCACTGAGCCTGAATTTTGACACTATGTTGTGGGTCACCAGTGAGACCAATTAAGTTTGAAGTTAACGCTTTGGTAGAGGTGGAAACCAGGAAATGAGGGATCTTCCTGTACAGAAATGACTATAATCCTAACAGCTATAAAGCATCTTCTGTAGCCTGAAGAACTCTTACTTGACTTCTAAGGTCTTGCTTCAAAACTAAGACAATGCACACAGGTCAAAAAGTCAGCTTCCACATGGGACTCCTATTACTGACATTTTGTTTGTCTTCTGTAGAAGCTTATTAGCTGCACGTGAGACTGGCTTGGGAAGATGAAGTCGTCAGGAAAGTAAGGGCTAGGTACCCTTATTAAGTTGAGGGCAGAGCCTCTCTCCTGCTGAAGGAAAAGTATTTTTCCTTCTGTCACATGGAAGAAGTCGGCATCTGCTGAGCTTCAGAGGTGAAGTCCTGAAACAGATTCCCACCCTGGCAAGCAGGGCAGATTCCACCCCTCAAACTGCAGAATGAAATTACCGTCTGGTATCATGGGCAACTGATGGGCAAATTAACAATCTTAATTAGGTACAAACACCAGACCAAGAAATGATTCTTGCAAGACTCTTGCAAACTCCTGGGATAGTCAGAATCGCTATGAAATCTGAATCATAGAAGAGAAACCGTGTGCTCGACTGCCAGCCAGCTCCTACAGCTCCCTTAGTGAATGGCACTGCTGTGAGTCACATTAAATAAATCAGTCGTGTGAGCGCTGCCCCGTCCCTCAGATTTATCCCACAATTAAAGGCTTGGCATGAGGGGCAGGAAACTTCATACAAGAGGTATGCAACCGCACAACAGCTGCAAGTGGGGGGCATCTGGGTATTCAGGAATAGAGGAATATGTTGTTGGCAACGTGAGCCTGGTCTCCTGGGAATCACCAGGAGAACACTTCGGATTTGCCACTCTTAAATGGGAGGCATCCGCTGTCAGGAAAAGCAGATTGCACAAGACTCTTGTGGTTTAATTTGTTATTATTCTGAGATACCTTAAGAAGACATAGGGCATTCATACATTCTCCTATGTTACAAAACAAACAAACAAAAAAGCCCTTATTTCTTTATGAAATATATATCGAAGGTTTAAAATACTGGTGATATTTTTGAACTTTATCTGTCAGGGAAATAAAGAGTCCCCCAAAATTATTTAAGGCATTTTAATGCCCTCCTGGCCTGCTGTAATGATTGCAGAGGTTACCTGAACCAAAATTAAGCCTGGCTCCCAGGACTCATTTGCAGATTACACTTCTTCCTTGAACATCTGTGGTGTATAATACATGTCCCTAGTAGCTCCTGTACATATGGACTTGTGAAAGCATCTTCAAGACTGCCTCCACTAAGGAGGCACTTCCTGGATTTTAGGGCTCTTCGCATTCTCTCTGACCCTTCAACAAGGCAATTATGACAGAGGTGAAAATTTCATGCAGCATTTTTAGATGTCATGAAACATTCACACATGCCTACTATGTAGGCATCTGAGTAGGCCTAGCAGGCTAGGAAACAAGGATTTTCACAGGCAGACAATCAAAAACTAAGAGAATTATACACTACACACACAGCAGGAACATTTAAAACCATGAAACATAGACAAATTAGTTTTACTACCAGAGCAAATCCAATCCAGAAAAAATCCTTTTTTATCATCTCCACTAGTTCAGATTTTTTTTTTTAAACTTGTGCTTAAAAATAATACAACTTAGAGAGTATAACTTAAGAAATCATATTCTTTGTATCATTTTTCTTTTTTTCCATCTGCATTATGAATGATAAAAAAAAAAAAACCCAATAGTATCACAGGTTGTTGAAACTGAAGCTTAAAAAATGAGAGTGAACATTCAGGGAGTTATGATCCAAATAATATGAAGGGCAATAACTATGTCTAACTTACCCCTATAAATCTAAAGTTACTTATATACACATCCCCACCCTGCTCTGTCAATAGAGCGCAGTCTCGCACGGCACCGGCCCCGTCATTCCAGTTCTGCCTTCTCTGTGTGGGGATATTACTTACATGAACAAGCCTACACTTGGCTCTCAGCTGTCAACTTCTTTATTTTAAACCTTCAGTGACTTCTTGTTAATACTAAGGATTTCAGGGGGAACTTTAAACAAACAAGGAGTATTTAGGGTTTTTTTTCAGAGACAGGTTCAGTTTATACTTACCTAATCTTGTGCTTTTATCACAATTTAGCAATTTTAAAGACTCACACATCACACAGTACTAACACACAGCACTGCAAGAGCTGTGCGCTGCAGTTTCCTCAAATACCAAAGAACAAAATTTCAAAGGAATACCTGTACTTATTTGACATATAGCCACAGCTTAGTTCCTTGCCCTGGCTTGGACACACAATGAGCATCTCTTGTAGCAGGAGCTTTCAGCTCCTATTGCCTTAGGTAGGAGCTGAACGAAGGACTGAGCCTTCAGCTCGTTCTTGAGGCACCAGCTGTCTTGTACAAAGCACCGGAGGGATATTGTCAGGGCTAACAGAAAAGCAACACAAGCAACATGACAAAGTGCTGTTTGCTTTTGCTTCGGCGTTCCCAGCAACATTCTGAAACACAGGGTGACTGTTCCGAAAATTCACATAAACAGACGTACAGCTTCTGCAAAGCAGGATGCATCATGTTTCACAAGGCCTGACTCGAACAGCTGTATGTTCTAGGCTTATGTATGTGGCATTTCCTGACCACAATCCTTCCTCTTTTCACCCCAGACCACAAAAAATTTGGTGAAACAGCACAGCTGCAAGACATACCGAGTTCGGAGTTGACATCTACTTCCCTCTTCTACTCACCCTTCTTCCCCAACAAATGTTACATAGAGCTTATTTCTCTGCAGGTCTTTTCTTGAGTAACCCATAATCTGGTTAAAGGCATCTTCCAGCAAGTGGTCTCTTCTGATGATTAATCTAAAGATCAAAATAAGTTTGAAAGAGCAATTCATGAACGTGAACTAGAGTTGGAAACATCTGTTTACGCTGCAAAAGGTAACAGGGTAACTCTTACTAGAGCACTGATACATATTTTTGCTGATTTAATCCAGATCAAGTAGCTTCTGTTTGGTTTTGCTTCTGTCCTTCCCAGGTCCATACTAAACCTCAGTAAAATGACTCATACCAAGAAGCATTTGGACAGCTGAACTTAAAAATATTAGCAGTTTTTAAGGCATTCCTTGAAAACTAATTCTACAAGTCCTCTTTACTGTGTAGAACTACAGTCTTAATACAAGCAAAGATGCCAAAAAATAAGCCCATCTAATCTTCTGAAAAGACAAAAGAAAATGTAACTATTTATTTCACAGTGATTCCTGTATGGGAAGAGTTGAAATGTGTCCTGCTCTGTAAACATGAGGCTCTGCAAGCATGCCCTTTCCCAACGCTCTTTCTGTCACTGCATTAGCAATATTGTTTGGACAAAAACATTTGGAAATACTATGGAGAAGCAGTGCACTGAATTGGTATCCTCTGCTATGCATTGTGTGCCGGTGCTATATCTTTTACGGCAAGGTTAATGCTTCATTTCAAAAGTGTGAGGGTAACGGTGACACATCTGTGTTCCTTCTAGCAGGAGCAGGCTAGTAGGTGTGCAAGGCAAGACCGGCTGCTGGTGAAACAAGTCCAGTTTCAGGACCTTTGTCAACGTACTTTAATTTCCCTGGGCCTTGTCCATATCCTTTAGTCTCCAACTTCCTATAAAAGTTCCTCAGCTTGGCTTCAAAATCTCTTTTGTAAGGAGCCGGGGCCCGGGCATTGGCACGCTGAGTACCTGCAGGAAGCAAGAGGCACAGAGTGAGCTATAAAAACATGAACTGATAACATCCCTTTTTCTAAAGAAAAGACTCTTTTAGAGCAAACAGCACAGGATATGTTTGATTGCACTGGAAACCACCTTTACAGACTAGTTAAAGCTGCATGCCTTCAAGCCTGTTCCACATTCAAGGCTCTTTGGCTGCTGATTTTAAATGGTATTATGTTTATATAGTTAAAAAAAAAAATCCAGATTCCAGAGGGATGCAAAAATTTGATTAAAAAGTAACAGGAGGATCAATTGGAAAAACTTCATGTTTGTTAAATGTACTGTATGTCTAAACTTTAAGATAGCTCATGCTCATTAAATAAATACTCCCCTCTGTTCTGTTATTAGATTAAAATTATTAAGAGAAAAAGCAATAAAAAGTAATATAAAACATAAAGAGACAGCCCTCTTCTCTGTAATGTGCTCCTGTTGAGTCTGTCAGCTTGAAGAATGCAACTCTGCAAAGCTGTAAAGAAAGAAAGAAAAAAAAAAAACACCAGAAGAATGAAAATGTTTGTACCTAAATGGAAAGTTCCCATTAGGGATTTTTTTTTTCTTGGGGAAGTACAAGGAAGAATAATATTATAATATTGTAAGAACGGAAATTGATTTTGAGGACCAGTTTCCTAAAAGCAGGAACAGATTAGTATGCCAAAAAACACACATAGCCCTTCTGCTGTTTCTTCTGCCTAAGTCTAATAGATGCAAATCAAGTGTTTCAGTCTGATCTATTTTGAGTATCACGAACACTAGAATTTCCATTGCCTCCATAGGGAAATCACTTCAATTGACTGTAATTGCAAGAAATTGGGCCACAGAGGCAGTTTACCCTAGAGTTCTATTTCCATCTTCTCCCCTCTACTTTTTACTACATGAGATAATTCTTCCCTTGCAGACTTCCCTGCAGTGTGCAGACTTCTCATACAAACGCAAAGGACGTGAACGTGTCTCACGCCATGCGCTGTACATAGGTTGCTAACTCCTTATCTGCAAAGAGGGGGGCCCAAAATGCACCCCATGCACCAATAATGCCCAGGAAACACAACTCAACAGTTTATAAGAATATGTATGGAGGCTTGTGTCTTTTAAATGACAGCCAGCTCCTTGCACTGCTTTTCTTTTGCCTCCCTCTATAAACCAATGCACATACAGAAAGTGATTTTACTAGCAGGAGTGAAGACAAGAGAATGTAGTATTTCAGGTTATAAACAAGAGGAAGAGAGTACACAGAGCCTGCAGAAAAAGAGCAGGGGAAGAGAAAGCAGCTTAACCACAAAGTATGTGGGTCTGGCCGTAGGAGTAGGCAGCAAGTGGCTGCCGGAAGAAACTGCGGAGAGTGGAGAGAGAAGGAAGAACAAGACCAGAATTAACACCGCGTATCATCTGGAGGTCTCTAAAGACCTGTCTGACAAGAAAAGAAGTGCCACTTCGTTTAGGTCTAGGGTACTGGTGTGTGGGAGGAATACAAAGGGTCAGGAAATCCTCCTGGCTCCAAGAGGAATGTGCAGAATCCTCCTGGGAGGACAAGCCGCAGCCATTGATTAACCCGCCGCGGTTCCCATATTTCACTGGCAGCTCCAAGAGCTTCTTACACCCCCTGTGCTGAATGCTCTAGAAAGCCCAGCAGGCTGAAACTGTAAACAGCCTTTTAATTATTGGTCTTTTCTCTCTACTTTGTTTATCCTGCTTTGGGTCAAAGGAGGTGCAAAAATGTAGTCACCAAAGAATGCAGCAAAAGCATATTTCCATCTCAAGCCCTGGAGGAAGTTCTTGCTAAGAGCTACCATAGAAGATCCCTCTGGCAACACATTACTTCATGATTCAGAAATCACCAGGATAATACGCTGCAATATAATACTCTGTCAGCACATGACAAGTTCTCATTGCAAATCAGACACATCTGCCAAGAAATTCCCGAGCAATTATAGTGATTATTTCTGCTTTGGGAACAAAAGATGTTAGTGGAAGGGCTACAAAGTGAAGGGATAACCGGATTAGATTCTCAAACAGATTATTTTACAAAATAAAGAACAGCTCCATGACAATTTGCCTTTTCCAACAGAGAAAATACAACCGGTGGCGACTCATCTAAACTCTGGATCCTCAACACGCAGCCTCTTGCAGTGCAGCACTGCCAGTTTCGCAGATGAAAACACAGAGCCACTACAGAAGTGCTGCTCAGTTTATAATTTCTGATCAAAAAGCGTTAGGACTTTATTTGTGTATCAGTACAAACACACAGACTCACAAACAAGCCAACTGATTGCTCTCTACCTTTTTCTATGTGGTAGAATAAAGGTACAATTTTAAGGAAAAGAGGCCATCACAGCTCATCCTTTGCTACTTGGAGGACTAGATGAAGAGATCACATGCTAAAGATTAAAAACATTTTTAAATTACTTTCTTGGACTGAAGCCCTGCCAGCCAGGGTGAATGAGCTAATAACAAAATGCCCACTCTGAAAGATAAAACTCTTCTTACTCAAAAAGATTGCCAGATTTGCAGTTGAAAATAAGGTACACACACAGATGTTCATCCTTTCTTTCTTTTTAATGAAGGACAATAATTATATATGTATCATTAATGTCCCCAAAATAGCAATGTAACACATGAATATATTTTGCCACTTTTCAGGATGCCATAAGATCATCAGGATCTTAGGGTGGATTCTCTGAACAGGTTCTGTAGAAGTTCTAAGTCCACTAGGAGGACAAGATACTGCTTAGGACATGCTTAATGTATGTTTTTAATCCGGCTTTTCTTGTCTTGATATCTTTGGATGGAAAAGCGGCCCATAAAAATCACAATATCTCTAATAAAAATCTCCTTATTTTCTGGAAACTTCTGGAGTTGGTTATATCCCAAAGATTGTTTACTTAACTACATTTTTGCTCTCTAATTGGTGGAAACCCCCTTAAGCCATTTCTGATTTACTGTAGGGATTTTACATACCTATCATTATCTTCTGGAACAAACTAAGAACAGTGACATCTATAAAGTGCAAATCGCTGTAGTTCACCTTCAGCGATCAAATGGAACTTGTCAAATCTGAAATACTTTAGTTTTTCTCAGCAATGTAGCTAGTTAACATTTGGATGTGCTGTACAATGTTCTGTGCAATGTTTTGCACAACTTAATTCCATTCTGTTTTGTGCAGCCAGATAGCTGCAATACAGTATTTTTCGAACTCCGGTTAAGGGGCAACAACCCGACTCTACATAAAATTGTTATGACTCATTGTACCACTGTGTGGCATTTTAATGTACAGTTATTAGCTCTCCTAATTTAATTCTCAAGGCATCAGGATATGGGCAAGAGTACTTGATTGTTCCACATCTGTGAAAAACCAGTTTGCACATTTTGCAAGTCAGAACAAAATCCCAAACTCTGATGTTGGAAAATACACTTATCTTTCCACTGCCAAAACACCTTATCAGCCCAAGGCAAAGGTTGAAGTTTGACAGTCAAATTCAAACACACTGGTTGGCTTGGCTCAAATAGAAACAGATCTTGGCTGTTGCTGCAGTAACAGAACTTGGATCTTCAGAAAGGGGGGAAGTAATTTCATACAGCATAATGTAAACTAAATTATGAGACTTGCACTACTGCAAAATTTTAGAGATAATCTCATAATGAAAGGAGTGCAGTAGAGAATGACAGCAATTACTAGCGTACTGATCACTGAGGAGGAGGTCCAGGTCATCTCCAGCCACCCAGAAGGTGGGAGCTGCAAAGGAAAACAGGTTACTGCTGCCAGCATGGTAGGATCTCAGCTTCAGGCTACCATAAAATTGAATTGAGAAAGCAAACGAGAAGTTATAGTCAAATTCTTCCTCTCCTGTTTTTATTCTCTGGCTTCTGGGATGGTGATAGCAACGTGTAAGCAGATTCCCTGACTCAGGAACTGGCCCTTACAGAGTATGAGGAGCGGTTTCTTGCAGCCTCTGCTGAAGTGGTGCTCAAGCAACCTACCTGGAGAGTTCTGAGGCGAGGACACCGGCGAGCCCCTCGGGGACTGGCAATAACTGGGATGAAGTAAGGCATGTGGCGGCACATATGACATTATCTCCTCTTCAAACAAGCTGGTGAAGTCAGAGACAAAATAACATACTCATGTGAATGAATGGGATCACTCTCTGGTTACAGCCTCAAAACTAACCTGATTTATTTGGCAGGCACACATATATTTCCTTGTATACACCTAGGGTGCTAGAAAATATTTTATCACCTTTCCCTCAATCTTGGAAATTACTAGAAAGCAATTACTACTGCTTCCGTGTGGCACCACTTTAATAGTTCAGTATATATTTTCAAGATTAAAAAACAGTTAATTGGCTTTTTAAAACTTTTTTCAATTTGCATTCTCGTTACAAAGGGGTCAATAACCTCAGTCACACTTTCCTGTAAAAATATCTGTAACACTGCACAAAGATCAGGAACTCTAACAAATATTCTAAGGCTCTAGGAGAAAGAATCACATTTGAACTTGTTGAACATATTTAAAAGCAAGGCCTGTTAGCACAGCAAGTGATTTCCTTGTTTCATTTTACAGCTAACACGGTTGCTGAAACTGGTATTGCATATAGTCTGCTCAGGCTATTTTATGCCTCATATATTATTGCCCTCTGGGTGACACAACTTTTAAAGGAAAAATGAAACTTTTTATTACAGCCTGTTTATTGCAGCCATATACAGAGGACCTGTATATAATAAGAATTCAGTATAAAGAGAAATTCCAGCATATCTCACTGCCCTGCTATGTTAACACAGCTCAACTTTCCTTTTACACAAACATCTACCCTCAAAATAAACACGTAACTACAGTAAAGTTGGAATAACTTGTTCCAGTTCTAAAGCACAAAATCTAATGGTTTAAGAAACCAATGGATGCACATAGCAAGTAATATATCTTGGGGAAAAATGATACTTTGTTTTTTCTTAGGTTTTAGTGTCAACTTCAGTAATTACCAAAAGAGAGCAATAAATCCTGGGGAGGGGGGCTTTTCAATTTTTGGATAAAATAATCAGTAGATTAAGAGAAATAAAACGTGAAAAAAGCAATGAAGTTGTAGCACAGGATCCTCTTTATTTTCTCATACTGATTATGGCTTTTCTACAAAAGAAAGATTGTAATTAAAATGTAGAATTTGATGTATTTTCACTATAAGATTTTGTTGCAGCCTTTACTGTTAGAACAGCAAACACCCCAGAACTCTGCTAATTAACAATGACAAAATCATTCCTGCAACCCTCATTTTAAGAAAACCACAATCTAAGGATTTTTTTTAAATCTATATTCTCACTTAAAAATAGTTTCAGTGCAGCTTCAAAATGAGATGCTACATCTTTAACTAACTCGGAGATTTAAGGGCTTGAAAGGATTGTGATTATGCAACTTGACATCTAAATACTGCTCATGCCAATCCTATTACACTAGATTTAGTATTAAATATAGTTATGAATTTCCAGGAGTACTTTTACAACTAATGAGAACACAATATGAAGATATGAAGGTTTAAATCTGACAAAAAAAAATCCCTGATTATTTGAGTTAGATGCCTGAATGAGATCTGTTAAAGAGGCAGAGCATCCTTACCTGCTCCCCTCCACCGAGTGGAAATCTTTCATCTGTGCTATGAGAAAACAATGTGACCTCCATGCTAGTAACTACCACCTAGAAACTCAACATTCAAAATACTAAATTAACTATTAAAAGTAATTAAATTAAAAAATTAAAAATATCTTGTGGAGCCCGGAAGCAGCAGTGCCTACCTGAGCAGCATGACAAGGTCTGCGTCGCTGGATAAACGCACCAGCCCAGGGGTTCCCTCCGTCCGGATGAACTGGATCTTCTCCCTGCATGAGCCAAAACAGGCAAACAAAAAACACATCTTTTGCACGTAATGCACCAATGTTACACCAGTGCAACAGGAGAAAGCTTGTACACTGCTGTGGAATTTTAGGGTCCGTGCTGAAGGTATCTCTTTTGGATATCAGAGATCCCCTTTGCCCTTTTGCTCTGTAGAGATCGTGCCTGCTTTTCTGAAATGAAAGCGTTCCCCTCTTCTTTTCTCAGGACAAGTGCTATAGTGATATGCTAAAGAAAACTGAACTCTAATCTGACCTTAATTTTAAGGAGGGAGAAAAACAGATATATAAATAAAAAGTGTAGTAAAAAGTGCCACAATTCTAGAGGAAGCTTCTCCTAAACAAAGAGGAGAGTAGAGCAAGAGCAAGTAGCACTGGCTCAGCTCGGAGGTCCATCTCTCCCACTGTCCTATAAGCAACCATGGCTAGGAGGATAAAATAATTTTAGCCAAGGTCAGGGGCTCCGGGCACTTCCAGAGGAGGAATTGTTATGTATTGCTATGGATCCAGGCTACGAATCCATACGTACAGTGTATGTATGGCTGAGACAGGCTGAGAACCACAAGATTTCAGTTTTTCTCCTCCTCTGTATGTTCTAGACAGCTTGAGTCCTGCAAGTACTTAAATTTCTGGGCTGTTAGTCAGAATTTATTTAGAGAATAAATCAAATCTCAAACATAACTTGTTAGAAAATGATGCTCTGAAAAAACGCCTGTTCAGATTTGGGAATTCTACCCATGCTAGTGAATTATAACCACTGTATCAGGTCTCACCATCATATGTCATTGAACCATGAAAAAGCTATACATAATTACTTAAAATAGGTGGGAACGTTAAAAATGCTGACAGACAAGGCTAATTAAGCTGACCTCTGAGGTTGTTAGGTCAGGATAGGCCTTCTGTAAATACACATTTAGAGGAAAACTAGATTTACTAATCCAAACATCATTCTGCCTCTGTCTCACACTCCTAGCTGAATACAGTCTCACATTTGGGCACATTTGCTTTCTCATCCAGCTGTCTTGGCACGTTTTGATGACACCAGCAAATCTCTGGTTTGCAACCAGTTGTTGCAAACTTTTTTTGCACGTTGCTTCATTTAAATCTTATTTCAGGAAATTGTACAGAATTACAGTAAAGAACTAATTCCCACAACTTTATGCATAAGTTTGTTTCTCACTGGCCCAAATTCTAGCTCTTCTATGTTCTACTCCTAACTTTAACAGGAGAAACTACTTTTAGTTAGACTCCAAATACAGTTTAATTACCTGAGTGAATGATTCCTGGTAAGATCTGGTTGACGCTCTTGTAGAATTTCAAAGATATTGGGCTGTCGCAAAAATGCAACGATCTTGTCATTGTAAGCTGAAAATAGCAATAAAAATACCTTCTGAAACAAGGATGTACAGAACAAGACTGCACTGCTTCTGAATTCTGAACAATAATGACAGCCCACTTCATCTCCACAAACTTCTTTTGTTTAGCAGTACTAGGTTTATAGATCTTTTCATCTAAGGATACTGATCATACTATCATTTGAGGGTCCTGCTTTGTGATTAGGAATCAAATCTGATTACGACCCTGCTTTCCCACTGTGAGACTTTTGGTAGGAATTTAGATAGTACCTCACCACTCATGTTCTCTCACTAGAAGTCAAACTAGACTATTAATTCTGAGAACCTTTTTTTTTCTCCTCCAGAGCACTTCCCCATGATCAGTCATATAACACCCATGCAAAGCCATACAAGGCTTGGGAGAAGCACTGCTTCCTCTGTAAAATCCTCCTTCACAACACCAATGGGGAGTCCTATACCTTGCTTCACAGTGATGTGTTCCACAAGGTTCCTTCACACCTTTAGCATCCCCTTCCAGGCCATTTGTCTCACTGTTATCTCCATAAATCCTACTAGAGGGAAGAATCATCCCACACGGGGGACTGGTTTTAAATTGATGAACTGCAGTCTGGAGGTGTCTGTCTGTCTGCACTAGTGGGAGACCACATTAACCACCTAACTTGTAGACTGACGAGTTAAGCATCATTCACGTCATCATTTGTGTGATATTTTAGACTCATAGAGTTAGCCAAGGCTACAAGATGCCCAGATACTTAGACATTATGAAGTTCCTACCCACTATACATAGGGTAAATATGTGAATATTTTTAATCTCCTCCTCTGAGAAGTGATGACTTTTTGGGTTTATTCTCCTTGAACTTCACAAAGGCAGTGCATTCAAATGCATGGCTGTACATGCAGGCTCCACCTTTAAACCATATAGGTTTTCCTGCTTACCGTAAATTCAGCTGCTAGGGGGGATGTGGCTTTCTGACACTTTGACAGGATGTCTATTGAGGCCAGTTACGTCAGCTTTGCGGTACAGTTCACTTTATTGATGTGTTTAAGAAATATTCAAAATTTAATTAATGCTACTCCTTCTCTTCTCTGCAACTTTGCAAAAAGATAGGAATGAAATGATTAAAGATTTCACTGTTTGCTGTCAAAATTCATCGGCAAATTATATTATATGGGGGAAAAAACCCACATTCCTGGTACTACAGTGCAATATAGTTTTCCTGTTTAATTACATCCATACTCAGCTTTTTAGAATATTAATACGTCCTAATAGAAGTGTCCTAATTTTTACATATTGTCACTTATTCAAATACGTTTTCTTATCTGTGTATTCCTTTTTCTAAAGTGATTCTGGGACTCGGTCAGCATTGGTGTCCAGTCCACTGTCAACCTTAAGCAATTGCTGAAAACACCTGTATTTACTCAACAACTACTGAGCCTGCAGTCAGTGCTCACCACATCCATGGAAAGGGTAAAGATTTCAATTAGCAGCATTTTTCAAGCAAACACAGCAGAGAACAAAGCAGCAGTTATAGTCAGTCAAATTCGTTATCTGGATTTTGCACAATGTGACAGCTGTTGGATTCGGGAAGCTGAATTCTGTTCTCAGTGGCACAGAAGGCAGAAAGTTTTGTGCATGTAACTGAGAGCAGAATTTAAACTAAAGACTAATTCCAAGCTGATTAACACTTTCTGTGACCCTGCCAAAACAGACATCCAGAAGCTGTACAGAATCACTGTGAATATATGGAGTTCATTTAGGACAGAACTTGAGTCAACGCCTTCAACTTTTTGCCAACGCTTTCATCAGGTAAATTAGGGAACTCCATACAGGGAGAATTTTTACCTTGGTTATTCTATTTTGCAGAGAATCTTTTCAAAATCTTTCCTGCAGGTTGCAATTGTACAATAAGGAAATGCCGACAGACAGAATGAGTTTAAAAAATGGTAAATTCCACCCACCTCATGCAGCTGAACACCCCAAAAACGCACACTGACATGACAAATTAATTCACCAAGTACTTCTCTGGAAATATCGCAAATGCTGACGTACCCACTGGAACCATGTCTTGATACTGAGCTCTGCTGACTGTATTAAAGGTACTGGATGGCCTTGGTAAAACCGGTGGTCCTGCGTGACGGGAGTCCTCTCCAACCTGGAAGGGTGCACGTAAGCACAATGAATGTCTCCATGCCAGCAAATCACTTAAGTACATATCGGTGAGAACTTGTATCGCTTAAAATTAAGCACGTACATGGATGCTCTGACGAAGAACTATTCCAAGTAACCACTTGAAGGGATAATCTGTACTGTCCAAATTATCAATGAAAGATTATCTGGTATATTGTGCTTATTAGTATAAAAAATTGAGAGAGACGCATTCCGGATTTGTGGTTATTTTTGAAAAACAGTCCTATTTGGAAAAGTAATTCATTCTGTAAAAGTTCAAATTGGGATTCAGAGGGCATTTTTATACACCTTTTTGTGTATATGTCCTTCAGGACATATCAAAGGTCCTGAAGAACAAATTCTGATTTCTTTATTAGCACCATAGCTTCTATTACCTCTGTGCATGAAGGGAATTTCACCAGTTTTAAAGTGGAAACAATTCTGTGGCTGATGCAAGAGGGATAACGTAGTCTGTTCGGATTCGGTCCAAAGCTTGTGTGTGTGTGTGTGTGTGTGTGTGCGTGTGTGTGTGTGTTTTCACCTTTTGGGAATAAAAGAATGTTATTCATGAACATTTTTTTCCAGTAGAAACACAATGTAAAATCATTCCCAGTGGTACTTGTGATGTCGGGGCAACTACCACAGTTTTCCGCATGTTGTGGCTTCAGTCCTTTCTACAGTGTTGGTATTTTGTATTTTAATTATACAGAGCATTGTGTTCAACCGCTTTTTCACCTTTTTGAACCCGTAGGTTTATTTCTCAATTCCTGCAGCCACATACAATGGTTAGCATTTGAACAACTCTTCCAAAAGCTAACTCCAAAAGATCAAATAACATGCAGGTTTTGTTAAATATAGCCACAAAGAAGCAAAAGTCCCTCGATACCTTGGAAGACCTGTGTGCTCTCTGATAATACTCTCTTAGAAAAATGAAAAACTAGTTCCTGTAGACACTGTGCTGAAAAGGAATGCCATTGTTATTAGCTCCAGCCTTGTGCTGCAGCTCAGTGTTAGCTATACAGGCATTCCTTACAATGGGTTATGTTTGCTTTAGAGCAGCCCCCTGTAAAAAACTGGGTCAGCGACTTAAAAACATCAAAGTCTGTGGCTGTACAAATCTAAATAAAGTATTCTGAGAATCTGAGTTCATTACACATTCATCTATCTACAGTAACATGCCCTGATGCAATAAATAGCCCTGATGCAATAGTTCAAAAATAGAAAAAAAATCAAGCAGTTTTTAAATCAGAAGGGGAGACAAAAAGCAATGATCAGATCCATATATATGCATATATATTTAGGCTCATACACATGAGTATCTATATCATTAATCCCAGAATGAGAATACTGTAGTGAATCACTAGATTCAAGATTCCCATCTGGAATTAAACTTCGGAATCATGTTACAAGCGTAACAATATCAAAGTATTTCTAAATTGCCATGCAAAAACACGGTTTAAAGATTTCCATATATCTAAATTGAGTGTGAAATTTAGACAGATGGACAGCACTGTGTAGATGCAATATATGTGACAACTTCCTATAGGATAAACCGTGCTTACATTGCAGTATTGACAACTCCAGCAGCATAGTTCACATGAATATCTGTTGTGAGTTTTTATGCACTGCTTACAAAAAGAGAGTCTGGGCATTTGATGAAGTCAAGAAAAACAACTTATTCTTGCTCTGTTATGTATCAACCACAACAGAAACACTCGTTTCACCAGAAACACTTGTTTCACCTCACACAAGAGCTAAATAGCCACACAAAGGTGCTTTTAGCTGTGTCGTTTATCGAGAAGATATTTTGGCCTTCACTGCAAAACCAGACTGCTGGAAAATGTTATTTAAAGTCCTTTGTGAAAAGCACCTGGGGGGAAGGGAAGTAACCAGGGCAGCTAAGCTACAGTCACACAGGATATGGTGAGATACACAGCGGGTGGCTTGACGCTTCCTGACGCTCGGCGGAAGTCCTGTTAAGATGAGTGGCAAGGAAGACTCATGCTTGCTCTGAAACAGATTTCCAGCAGCAATTCATCTGCCATGACACTGAGCTAGAGATAGCATAAATCAGAGCATCCTTCTGGCCAGCCTAACCCATATTAAGGGTAATTTCTATCAAGAGTCTTCTCCTCTAGAAGACTGGAAAGACAGCTGACAGCCAACAGCATGGAGGTTAAATGAAGAACAACAGAAATTTGAGTCACTGCACATACACTTGCCCATGAGGCAAAAGAAGTCACAGAAGTGAGAAAACTGCTGGTGAAAGCAGTTCATAGTTGTAGGCTATGCCATTAGTGGCCCACTGTCATATCTCAGAAAAAATAGTGTTTTCCTCGTGTCTCCAGTTAGAAAGTACAGAGGTAATGCATACATATATATGTACATACATACAACAGTGTGATTAGCTGTTATATATGGTAACAAGATTTCTTTTTTGTATTTATTCAGAGAGTTACTCATCTATATATATATGTACACAATTTTGTTTGCAAAATCATCTGAAAGATATCAAATCGTATCTTTCAAAAAAAAAAAAAAAGCAAATAACAAAGAATGAATGTTTACAGGTGAGTACCACATGCCTGCAGAGCACAATTCACAACACACACTCCACACACCCTAACAAAATTATAATAATGAAGCGGAATAATGTGGAGCAGGATGATCTGAAAATAAGGGGTGCTCTTGGCAGCACAGGGACAGATCCGTGTTACCTCTCCCGCGCTGTGGCTGCGCTGTCTGGTCAGGTGCTGCCGATGGACCAGCGCGCTCGTGGGCCTGCTGCTCTGCAGGGGCAGCCGGGGGTCGATGAATGTGGTGGTTCGGGAATTGTGGTCAACAAAGAAGGCCTGGAGGAACAGAAACGAAGAAGGAATTCATAGTCAATAATTTATGACTCAAACTACTGAACCACCCAAGAGCATGTGTCCAAGGTTGACATACATCCAGAATCCATGTTTCAACCACTGATACGAGACTTTGGGAAATCTTTTCCCATTACCACAGCTCCCATTTCCTTTTGGCAGAATAGGGATAACACTTTTTCCACCTCTCTAGAGGGAGAAAACAGGAAAGCAGAATGAAAGCCACTTTGAAATTTCAATTTGGGGCTTGGCAAGAGGCTGGATGAAGCTGCCAGAATGGATCCAGGCTTGTTGAAATTTTTGCTCTTGTTTGGTAGGTATTTTAATCTAATAATAATTAATCTAATAATTTAATTAATACTAATTATCCTGAATAATAGGTTATTTAATAGGTTATTTAATAGGTTTATTAATTTGTGAGCAGGTGGTCGATATGCATTGCAAGCTCCTCTATTTATTATTCTATCTAGGCCAGGCTACATACAATCTGGTGGGTAGAACCTCTGTTTTGATGACATTTCCTCACTCTTCCCAAATGCTGGCTAGACAAAGGTTGATTTAATTTAGTTAACATTACATACTGAAAACATTCTGGAAAGAAAATATCAGGAAATAAAAATAATGAGTCAATAGAGAAGAAGAAATACTTAGAGCTGCAACATGCAGTTAAGTCATTCACCAATTTAACACTGCATGGAGAGCCCTTTGGCTTTACAGTTACACTTACAGTTAAACAACTTAAGTACTAATTTAAAGACAATCATGTCTTATTAAACATGAACATTTGAAGGCCAGCTAGCAGTAGACTACTTGAAAATAAAGCATACATTACTATTTTGAAGCTTCACTGAGGCCAATCATTGGAGCTTCCCTGCTTTGGGCTACTCTGGACATTTGACAGCTGGGAATACATTGTGACTCAGTCTGTTTTCAAACAAAAAAAAACCTGTTCAGAATTCCTATCTAGATGTAATTCATAAAATCCTGATGTTTGAAGAGACTGTTAAAACATGAATGGGGCCAAAGCTACGGGTAGCCCATGAAACATGGCAGCTTCCTAAGCTCTCCTTTCAGAGAGCAGCAGCAAAAGGGGTTTTGCTCTGTGCAGCTTGGCGGGGCCGTGAGAGGTGGGCAGCCCCAGCCTGAAGGGGGAAGACAGTCTTCGAAGGGGACAAGCTACTAGAACTGCATGGAGATGCATTGTTCTTCTTAGTAGCTTCTATTTAAAGGCAGATGAAGAACTTAGAGGCTTGACTACTTCCAGTGCTTCATAAGGGTCAGGACACTTACTGTTCCTTATGAGCAGGAACAAGGACATCATGCTACAATGAACTTAGTTCTAAGTTACAGAAATCCTTGTCTCAGCAGCATCAGTAGCTATGGAGAGGAGATAAAATTACTTGTTGTGGCATGGCTAATTTCTGCTCATCTCTTTTTGGTCTACGCTTTGCTAAGGGCAGGTTCACTTTGGTTTGTTCTCCTCAAGTGCTGCCTTCATCGTTTACTGGCCATCATCTCTCTCATGTGCTGAGTAAGCTTTTCTGGAGGCCACAAGTGCTGCTTGGGAAAAAGACAATTCAACATAACGAGAATGAATAATACTGAGCATAATTCAAAGTGAGGAAATCCCAAGGGGATGTATTCAGTGCTTCCTTTGGGTGATTAAAGCTATAGTAGCATAATCATTATCAAAAACCACACTAGAAATCCAGAGGTTTCGTTCTCTCTATGGGGCACCTATTAAAGGCAATTGAAACTACTACAGTATTCCTCAGGAGGAAACTGAGCCCTGAAGAAACAAAGAGAAAAGGTCGATTTAGAACAGAAAAGAGCAGGACAGGCAAATAACAAGGTTACTATAATTGCATGCCTCTAATCTTGTTTACAATGAAAAAATGCAGTGCTTTCCAAAGACAATAAATTCAAGAGAACAACCCCCAAGCACATTTTCTAGCCCTTCAGTTTAGAAATCTGTCGTAATCTTCTTGGTCACCAAGATCATTATTTATATGAACATTTGCAGCTAAGCGTACCAAGACTGATAAACATAAGAACTGATGGGCTTAATGTGCCTAAAGTCTTAATTAGGATGTCTCACACAAGCCGATAGCCTTATCTCTTCCTCAGTGCTCATCAGGGTCTATTTTTATCCTTCCTATTTTCTGCAAAGAAAATCATATTCTAGATAGCAAAAATTACACAGTTTAAAGCTGCACTAAAATTCTATTCCCACTGTACAAATAAGTGTCAGTTATTATCCTTGTATTTTAAAATACTTTCTTACAACTGCTACTGTGATCTGTAATTATCTGCTTTAACAGTCAACATGGTTTGCAACTATTCAAGATTCATACGATTTAGTAAAACTTGCTACACACAGTTTCTTTCCTGTTAGCCAACCCATAAGCAAAGTGGCCATCCCTAGAGTCCCAGTGCATCCATTTCACCTCAGAAGCTGATGAACATTGGATCTACTCAGCATTTGGACGGAGAACTCACCTGAGAAGACTGGTAGCTGTTAAAGAAAAGAAAAAGCAAACACTGCATGCTAATAAATTCCACTCAAAAGGCTGAAGAGGAGGAGGGGAAAAAAAAAAAAAAAAAGAAGAAGGAAAAAGCTCTAAGGAAAATCTTGACAGCTAAACAGGAAGCTCAGCAATATCCAGACAAAATTCTATAGAAAATACTTTAATAACTTCACATCTAAATTCTCTTCCAAATACATAGGTAAAACTTCAAAGAACTCCACAGTAGTGCCTATATTTATGGAAGAGAGAATTCTATGGAATTCTAATTCTCTCTTCCATAAAGAATTGAAGTTCTTAAAACTTCAAAAAAAGCTTTAAGTATCCAGGGGAATCAAAACAACTTATTTCACAATAAAAAGGCTAAGGGTTTTATATCGAGTTTTTTTTTGCAATGTTTATATTCACCTACCATTCTCTTTCCCTTTTCAAATAAAGCTCTACTGGCGCAAATGAGAGTTTCCAGCCTTTGCTGGGCAAAGGAAGGAGCACAGGACATGCACCTTGTGCATCTGAAGAACGATGTGCACTCACGTTCTCGTTAAGACCAACCAACTCAGTTCTGGCATGGCAATAGTCAAGGACAAATGCCAAGCAACTCTTGCAGTTACCTTGCCCTGATGGTCGTGTTTCATTTCCCAGCCTCGTGGCAGCTCCAGCTGCTTGTTGGCAAACATGTTGAGGAAGCTAACCAGGTCCCGGTTGTGCTGGTAGCGTTCAAAGTGGTGGGTGTCCCGCCGGACTTTGGTGATCATGTGCTTCAAACACGTGTTATTTGTAAACATGCGGTAGGCACTCTGAAAAATCCACAACAAAAATAATTTTATACGACAAAAATTACATAAAAAGCTACAAGTTCACTTCCATCTGTGTCTGCCTGCTAAACAGATAGCAATTTAAGCGTCTTCCAAGGAGGGCAGTAAAGCAGGTACACTGCTTTCGGGGAACTGGGAGTGATCTATACCACCACAGCAATGAAAAGAGATCCCCTGAACTTGGAAGATGTTGAATTTTGGCCAGAAGTAGTTCAATGGGGATGCCCACACATATAAAATGCTAATTATGTTTTGCAGATATCCTGATCTGGGACATTGATAAGTAGACGGTCCTGTGAAAAATGAGAAAATAAGCACTTTCTGAGTAAATTCTTCCCATTATACTTTATACTTTCAGATTTAATTTACACCAAAAAGAACCATCATTTCTTATTACTACAAAAGGCATTTTTTCCAATGTAAAAAAATGACATAATTATCTATAAAACCTGAAAAAGGCCTTTCACCTTTGTCCTCACACTGAGGATTTGAGATGAACATATAGGAACTGTCATTACCTAATCACTTCAAAGTTTGAAGCATCATTTCATATGCCATTCACCACACTCATCATTGAAACTGTGAGGCATCTGAGAGCATTGAATTTGCTTAAAAAGTAGAAAATTGCACAGCTATTCCCTAAATTGTGGAGTAAGGAATCAAACACAGCCATGGAACATAGCAAAAAAAGCTGCCCAGCTTTTGCTGGCACATATACATGCTTTTCAAGCTCATCAAAAAACCTGTGTAGCTATCATTTCCACCCAGTGATTTCTTAAAAAAAAAAAAAAAAAAGACTCCAAACCAAAAAAATGCACCAGAAGTCTATAATTGTATGTCTACTTGTAACTTATCTAACAAAATAAAGAGGAGAGAACATAGAGGAATAGGGAAAACTTTAAAGTAGGTCTTACCTACTCCTACATTACTTCATAAATTAAATATAAAGCTGTATAGGCCAAGCAGAATTACTCAAAAATGCACAAGCATATAGATATATCCAAACTAGGCCATCAATGACTAGTAGTTTAAAAAAAAAAAAAAAAAAAAAAAAACACGGAATTATTAACAAGGGTGCTTGCAGACAACATAAGAAAGATGAAAAGCTGAGTTAAAAATAAAAGCTGAAGAAGCTGTATCAGCACCTCTGATAGTCCATCAATTGCAAGAAATGGCGATAAGCACTGAATTGATCCAGCCTCCCTAGGTACTAACAAGTATCTTAGTATCAAACAGAGAGATATCTTTGTACGAGGGTTGGACTAGATGACCTCTGAGGTCCCTTCCAACCTTAAGCATTCTATGAATCTGTATCAGACATCCATATTTGTAAACAGAGACACAAGTTAAGAAAGCCTTTCATGTGTGCCCACTGTACTCACGGGGTTAGAATGCAGCACTGTAAAGAACTCTGGGCTGATGAGGAATTTCACAGGGGGAGACTGGAGCAATAACGTAAGTCTGGACCTGGAGGTAGAGTGAGGCAGCATGTTCTCTCGTCGAAAATCTAATGAGAAAGTTAATGACAAAGATGTCCAATTATAAACATTAACCAAAGACACCACAATATCAGACTTATTCAGTGTTCTCCACAAGTGTATCAGAAATTCTTCTAATACAGCACTGAAAATCCTGAAAATAACAGAATTAATGTATTTGATAAAATTTATTCATTGCTTTTGGATTTCAAGGATTAAAAAATGAGTTTATTCCTCGGGGCACAAGACACACCTAGGCCTAGCACATGAGAAGCTACCTGTGGCAACGCTGTACACAGAGATACAGAATTCCCACTGCTGACCAACATATAGAAATTGCACATGCAGAAGTATTTTATCCTTGTTTTAAGAAAGGCAAGTCACTGCTAGCAACACAGCCCTGATCATGATACAGTATTTAACCAGCTTACCCAAATAAAAAAAGGGTTGCCAAGGAGCACCTCTCCATTTCAGCTTTCAGTAAATGTTTGGGTCCTCTCATAGCAACTGTGAGGGGCACTGATTTTGCAACACTATCAGGAACTGAAACTATATTATAAATGCAATATTTATTACAGTGTTTAAACTCTCTCCCCAAACTATGAAAATCCACAGCATATTTGGATGTATCTGTTAAAGTAAATGAAAATTTGTAAATTCAGACTAGCTCTGCAGTGGTTTTATTCCAGAACACATGCCACTTTCTACATTTCACATGCTCTGCATTTTTTGTATTACATTATTGCATGTTTCTCCATCAACTTGACTCTCACTATTAATTAATGCTAAATGAGTATTAACTATGTAGAACACAGCAAATGTGAAACAAAACAGAAATTAGAGTGAAATGTTATATACAAATTGGTAAAAATCATGTAAAAAGTAGGATAGGGGAAATAAGTAGGCTATTTGAATGGCATTCTAAGCTTTAAATGAAACCAGAAATGGAAGAGTATTAAGTAGGGGAAAAGTAAATGTAAAAGAGACACTTCTCTCATGACATGGGCCCATAAGCCCCCAGCATGGCCCAAAAAGCCCTGAAGCTCTGCCCAAATTCTGGGGCTGGGAGGGCCCTGCAGCTCCCCCGGGAGCAGGCGGGTGCTGCTGCTACCTTGAGCTCTGCAGGGATCAAAAGCCTGGGTGGGCTGCAGGCGCTTCCCACATCCTGCCTCCTGCGGCCCGCCACCACAGCCTGCCTAACCTGGAAAGCAGGGAATGTCTTCAGTTAGGTTCGCTCAGCAGCTGAGAGGCTTCTCAGTCTGATTTATGAGAGCCTCATTAAGCTGAACTTGTCGATGGGGGTTTAGTCTGACGTTGCAAAAGGAGAAGGCTAGGCAGAAAGGAAGAATAAGGAGGCCACTTAGCTACACACCGCAAGTCCTTCAGTGACTCAGGGCACTGTGGCATTGCAGGGGTGTGAGGGAACCTCCTTAGGAAGGAGGGTTATAACAGAATATCAAGAGAATCTGAAGGAAAAATCAAAGTACAGAAGACTCAACTATGCAAAGGACTAGATGGATGACAAATTATCTTTCTAAAGATATTAGCAAGTTAATAGCAAGATGAAGAGCAAGGAAAGAATTGTTTAGAAAAGTTGTAATAAGCCTGAACTCATTTAATAAAGAAGAATATATATATATTTATCCCTTAAATTAGAGATTTTCAAACATTTTGGACTTGACAAAGTACACTCTAGAAAACTAGAGTGAATGGAACTAGACAAAACCACCTCACACCAATCTGTGATATGAAAGGAATAAGTATTACATCTATCTTTAAGAACAGGAAAAAGAAAGACAAAGGAAACTAAAGACAAATCAACATATCTTCTGTTTCCAAACAGACATACAAACCATGAGAATTATCAAGATATTTAATGTACTTAGAAAGATAAAAAAAAAAAAAAAAAAAAAAAAAAAAAAAAACA